CGGATGTGAACGGGTTGCAGAGTTACTATAAGGGGGTTGGGGGATCGGTCCACCAACTCTGTTCCAAGGGTGAGAGGTTCTCCTGACAGGCGTTAACTTCCAGGCACTTACATCCTGCCCCTGGTGTGCAGAGGGAGGCAAAGAGCAGCCAGGTGCTCGCATTTAGAAGCCTTACCTGGTAAATGTGCCGGGTAAGGTGGGACATTGTGACACCCCTCAGGAGGTAACTCACCCCAGGCTAACGGGTAAGTGCAAGAAGATGTTCCGTGTTGACTAGAATAGCAAAACCACACGTGACAAACAAATGACAAAAATACACACAAAATAGGCCTGGCCGGTTTGGCTCAGTAGTTAGAGTGTCGGCCCGCGGACCAGAGTCCCGTGTTCGGCTCCCGCTAAAGGCATGTACCTCGGTTGCAGTTTGTCCCCGGCCCTGTTGGGGTTGTGTGGGTGGCAGCCAGTTGATGTGTCTCTCTCACATCGATGTTTCTCTCTCTCTTCCTTCCTCTTCCTTTCCTGCTTTATCTGAAGATAAGTGCAAAAATGTCCTCAAGTGAGGATAAAAAAGTAATAAATAAGTAAATAAATAAAGCACACACAAAATATCTAGCCACAGGGGGATGGTTTAGTAACGTCCATTTAGAGAAAGGAGATAGAGCTACCACACCATGCCAATGTCAAAGCCCTTGAACAATGCAGAAAAGCTTACCGTCGAATGCTAAGCGGGAAATGCAGGATGCAATACAAACTAATTATACGTACACTAAGGTTATGCCCAGGTAATCACCTGTCTTCAAGGCAAGAAGCATTCTAAGGAACCACAAAGAAATGGAAATGCATTAAGGTCACAGCGTCATGAGAATTCTTCTGCTATGTTGTCATTTTAGTCGAATGGAGAGCAAAGATTTACTGTGACTAATTAAAAACACCAGTTCACATAGAGCGATGTGATCCTCCCATCCCCCCCCCCTCCCCTGCTGCCATTTCCTGCAACTGCTCCCAAATAAACTGTTGGTGCTTGAATTCTTGTCTCATTAGCTTTGGAGGGAACCCAACCTAAAGGGGCCTATTCACAGGACTGGGGTGTCTGGGCCACAGGGCGTGAACATCCTTACGGTTCTTTTCATGGTTCTACTTAAACCAAATTCCTTCTCTGTTTTCATTTGCTGATCCTGAAAATCGGGATTTGGAGGCTCAGACAGCTGTATCAGATCATTGGAAACATGCTCACCCACGTCCAGCCATGTCCTGCTTCCTTTCTGCACATATACAGAGGTTCAGGCACTGTGGGAGTTGACATCATCAAGAAGGATTCCGTGCCCAGGAGTCTGCATTTTGTCAGAATGTAAAATGGAATTTAGCCTGCAGATTTGCAAGTTCCTTTATCAAATGTCTCCAAGCATGCCCCATCAGTGACATAAACTAAGCCTTTACCCAGAAGATATCTTATCTCTGTGTGATAATAGTTTTCTGATAGAAGTCATTGGCTCCCACAGATAAGAAACCAGCTCTGCCCAGCCTGTGAGTCAGCACTGACATGGAATCCTGCCCTGGGCTCTGTCTTACAGGCGAAGAGGGGGCAAGAGTCAGCCCCAGGGACCTGGACGCCGGGGCAGGCTGGCAATGTTCATTGCGTCCTACTATGTGCCAGCCATGGGCTAGAGCGTTTAGCAGACATTATTTCTTCCCCTCAAAAATCTCACAGATAAGACAACTCAAATGTCCATCGGTGGACGAATGGATGAACAGAATGTGGTTTATTCACACCATGGATAGAATCTGGCCATAAAAAGGAGTGAAGTGCTGATAGGTGCTCCAATACATGCGAACCTTGAAAACATTATGCTGAGTCAAGGAAATAGACACAAAGGTCACATACTGCATGATTCCATCTATGTGAAATGTCCAGAATAAGTAAATCCATAGAGGTAGAGAATAGTGATCTCCAGGGTCTGAGGGGAGAAGAGGGGGTAGGCAGGAAGAACAACAAAAACCCAACAACAAAAATGACTGATAGCAGAGCAAGGTAATCACTTAAAATCAAATATTCTCTAAACTCTGTGTTCTGGAAACTCTGCCATGAGAAACTGTTTACCTGACACTCTTTGCTGAAGGTTCCCGGGTCCCAGCACGTCATACAGCTCCCTTCTCCAGCCTCGAATCATTAGCTTCTTATGTAGATCTCTCATCCAGTGTTGTGGTTTTTTATTTTTATTATTTATTTATTTTTTATCCTCACCTGAGGACATTTTTTCCATATTTTGTTCAGATAGAGTGGGAGGGGGAGAGAGAGAGAGAGAAACATCGACGTGAAAGGGACACATCGAGTGGCTGCCACCCGCACAACCCAATCAGGGCCGGGGACAAATTGCAACCAAGGTATATGCCCTTAGCGGGAACTGAACCCGGGTCTCTCTGGACCGCAGGCCGATGTCTAACTGCTGAGCCAAACCGGCCAGGGCGGTGTTGTTGTTTTTTATAAAGTATGACCTTGGTGTCTCCCCTATCCCAACTCAAATGGCTTATGTAGGTATTTTCCTAAAAAAAAAAGTATCCAGAAGAACTCTGGGACTAGTAGTTAAAACAATGTTTCTCACCACTAAAGTAACAGTAATTCTGGCAACTTGAATTAACTTGGGAAGTTACCAAGAACAGCAAACATCACTCAGGAAGGAAAACAAAGGTTGGAAGGTATTCGTTCTGGAAAACCCTTCATTCAGTTATTCCTCTATAAACTTTTATTGAGTGTCCTCCCAAAATAAACACAAAGGAATGAATCATGCTACAAGACGGGTGAAATTTGAAGTGAAAGGAGCCAGTCACAAAAAAGTCATCCTCATAGTGTAGGATGTCATTTACATGCAATGTCCAGAATAGACAAATCCGCAAAAACAGAAAGTAGATTAATGGCTGTCAGGTGCTGGGAGGCGGAGGAAATGGGTGTGAAGGCTAATGGATTTCCTTTTGGTGTGATGAAAATGTTCTAAAATGGATCTGTCGTGAGGGTCGTACAACCTCGTGAATGTGCTGAAGAACATTGAGTTGCATACTTTAAGTGGGTGAATTGTTTGGCATGTGAATTATATTTCAGTAAAGCTTTGATTTTAAAAAAAAGAAAAGAAAAACAAAATTCAGAGGAGAGAAGCTTATTGTATGAGGCAAGTTCTACCGAGTTCATGAAGGAAGAGATTCGAGCTGAATCTTGAAGGTGATCAGGGAGGGACTAGAGGGACGAGGTTCCTGGACTAGGGGACAACACTGGCGCACACAGAGGTTGAGGAAAGGTCACCAGCAACTGACTAAGATAGTTAGGAAGAGCCATGACTTTGAGCTTGTGGAGGGGAGTAGGGATGATGGGCCCATGAGATTTTATAAAAAATAATTTATTATTATTATTATTTAAAATAAGTTCTTACTGATTTTTTTGAGAGAGAGAAGAAGGGAGAGAGAAAAACATCGATGTGAGAGAGATACATCGATCAGGTGCCTCCTGCATGCCCCCCACTGGGGATGGAGCCTGAAACCCAGGCATATGCCTTGAGCAGGAATCAAACTGGGACCTCTCAGTCCAAGGGATGCTGCTCAATCCACTGAGACACACCAGCTGGGAAATAATTTATTATTTTGAACAGGTAATACATTCACACGACACAAAATAGAAACATTTTTAAAAGGTGGCTAATGAAACACAGGTTTGTTCCCTTCTCTATCTCGCACCCACCTAGTCCCCCTCCCCAGGCACTGTTACCAGTCTCTATGTCTTTTGTGAGATGTTATACACACAGATAAATATTCATCTGTTTTTATGTAAATGGCATTAGACCATCAACAATGTCTCGTACTTTGCGTTTAATGTTAGCAAAACTCTTAGAGATCCTTCCAAATTTGTATACAAAGAATTTGTTCATTTTTTTTTTTTCTAGTGGGTATGTAGGATGTACCACATTTTTTTTAAACCAATTTCCTATCAATGGACATTTAAGTTGTTTCCAATTTTTCCTTCTTAAAAAATTCTTCAATAAGCCCTGGCCGGTTTGGCTCAGCGGTTAGAGCGTCGGCCTGCGGTACGGAGAGACCCGGGTTCGGTTCCCGCTAAGGGCACGTACTTTGGTTGCAGTTTGTCCCCAGCCCTGGTTGGTCGTGCGGGTGGCAGCCACTCGATGTGTCCCTTTCACGTCGATGTTTCTCTCTCTCTCTCTCCCTCCCACTCTATCTGTACAAAAAATGGAAAAAATGTCCTCAGGTGAGGATAAAAAAAAAAAAAAAATTCTTCAATAAATAACCTTATACATATGCCACTTCACATACGTATGAATTTAACTGTAGGTGAGATTCCTAGAAGTGGAATTGCTACATTACAGAGCTAGTGCTTTTTATTTATTATTATTATTATTTTTAATCCTCACCCAAGGATATTTTTCCACTTATCTTCAGATAGAGAGGGAGGTGGGGGGAGAGAGAGAGAGAGAAACATCGATGTGAGAGAGACACATCAATTGGCTGCCTCCCACATGACCTCGACCAGGGCCAGGGACCGAACCGCAACCCAGGTCTGTGCCCTTGACCAGAATCGAACCTGAGATTCTTTGGTCCGCAGGTCGACGCTCCAACCACTGAGCCACACCAGCTGGGGCAGAGCTTGTGCTTTTAAATTTTTTTCCAGAGTTCAGGTTTAGTCAAAAAGACCAAAGCCCGTATCATCACCAGACTCCTCAGATCCTTCTTTCTTTGCCTCCACTTTCTTCTGCTCAGCCGGGGCAGCTGTGGTGGAGGGCAGGACCATCGGCTGGGGCGGCGCCCGCTGCTGGGGCAGGTCTGCCAGCCTCCACGTTCCAGATGAGGCTCCCGATGTTGACACTGGCCAGAGCCTTTGAAAACTCGCTGAGACAGAAAGGTTCACGTTTATTTACACCAGCTGCTTTAGTGAGGGCACCGTGACCATCCTCACTGTTGTGCGGGAAGTGGTCTGATAGATGTAGGTGAGATCTGAGACCGGGGTCATGGTGTGGGCAGGCACGGTGCTGGTTGCCGGGTGACGTAAGGACCTTGCCCCAGCACGGCCTTCGCTTCTTAGGAAGAACCCAGCTCATTACTAGCAAATGGGGACAGGGACTTAAATTGTGATAGATATTGTCCCATGGCCCACAGTAGAGGTTGTACCCATTTATTCTCCCTTTAGCATAGGGTAAGAGAGACTGGTTCCCCACATTTCTGGGGATGTGTTTGGAAATATCGTCAGGGACCAGTTCATACAGAGCCTTGTGTACTAAGCCAAGAAGTCTGAACTTGACCCGTAGACCATGGGCACCCAATGGAGGGTTTAGACACAGGATGAGGATTACCAGCTTTGAAGTTTTTAAACCTTATTTTCCTAACATTAAATAATGTTATGTAACATAAATAATGTAACATAAACATTAAAAATATCTAGGATATTTTTATTCTCTAACAGACATGAGTGGTAATCTGATGAATCAGAGGCGGGGTGGGAACCTCTGTTAGGATCTAAGCCACGCTGGAGAGAACGTGATTATCATTTAGGCACAGCGGCTATTCTAGACAATAAGATTAGATATGAGTGCAACCGGCTTTTCTTCTTCTTCTTCTTTTTTTTTTTTTACAATCCCACAACTCTAAATTTCCTGCCATTTTCCTTTTATCATGTACTTCCCACATGCTGACGGCTTCTAATGAATCATTTGGCCTTCAAGAGTGACGACATAAAACCAATAGCCGGGAATGTTTATCGGAAGCTAACAGTAGACCGAAGGACAAGAAGACCGGTGGGCAGCAGCTTTCTCTTTCTCTAGAAGACCATTTCGCAAACTAATTGTGTTTGGAACTGGCATTGAACAAAGAGCTGGGGGGAAACAGCAGCCACATTTGTCCCGAGCCATGGCTTCTTATACAAGCGGTAGTCATATTGTTGGATGCAAAGACAGATGGAAGAGGGATGGCAGATGGTTATAAAGGCAACAGCATAGGAAGGACTGAGAGCCGGCTCCATCCAGACACCCCAGTGGGGGTTCAGGACCAGTGCAGCAGGCAGGGTCCTCCTGGGGCTCGCGCTGAGCTTCATGGCCACTACTGCTGAGCCCGAGGGGGGACAGCTTTTGCTCTAAGAGCCAAGTGGCTTTCAGAGACCCTTGCTATGAATTTGTGCCTTTTGGCCGCTCTTATTGTGGTGCCCAGAACTGGTGTGAGGGGCAAGGAGGCCATTTGGTCTTTGTCAGGATGAAGGCACCCAGCGGTTTCTACAGAAGCACCTCTCTCAGGACAGGGAATGGTGGGTTGGACCCACAGGGAATTCGGCTCAGAATGGTAGGTGCTGCAGGAGGTATGTGCTGAGACAACTGTTATACGGGAGCTTGTGGCTGCAATTCTCAGCCTTGCTCTCTACCCAGAGTTCCATAAAACAAATTGATATGTCCCATGCTCATGGTAAGGAAACCCTCCTCTGGTTGTTTTGTGGATCGAATAAAATAATCCATGCACAGAATCTGGCACATGGTTGACATTCTAGAAACTTGCACTGCTTGGCACCTGCTTAATAATAATATCATCTATGAATTCTTTGATATCTATGAGTCCAGCACTATCCTGAGTGCTTCATGGCCATTATTACGCTGAATCCTCATGATAACTGATAATATATTATTGTTGTTTTCTCTACTTTACAGGTGAGAAAACTGAGTCTTAGGAAATAATTAGTAAGCTATTTTCAAAGCACCTCCACATGTCTTTTACCCCCCACCCCCACCCCTTTGCTATGAGACTGAAGCAGGTCAAGTGCTTAGCATGGCTCAATTCACATTGGACAGTCTCACTTTAATGGTTCTCCTGGGAACTCTCTCTTACCATTTACTCTGGGAGGGCTCCTACCCTCAACCCCAGCACAGCCAGGAGAGTCCTATGCACCTGTAGGACCCTTTTGGCATGATTTTAGTTCTTTAGGTGTCTTCTCCACAGACAATAAGCTCTTCAAGGGGAGGAGCCACATTCTGGTCAATTTCCCCACTAGTGCATGTACATATCAAAGAATAGACAAACAAACGTTCATATTTAACTTGGACACCTGCCCCATGAGTTAGGCATTGCTACTCTTATTTTATGGGTGAGGAAATAAGTCCAGAGAGAGGAGCTGCCTTGCCCAAGGTGACACCTCTAGGGACGGGCAGTGAGGTCCCGAGCCAGTGCCTGCCGCCTCAAACTGCTCTGTGGAAGCTATTGGGTTTTAGAAAAGAAAAACTTTGCCCCGCTAGTGTGGCTCAGTGGTTGAGCGTCGACCCATGCACCAAGAGGTCACCGGTTGGATTCCCAGTCAGGGCACATGCCCAGGTTGTGGGCCAAATCCCCAGTGGGGGGCATGCAGGAGGCGGCCAATCAATGTTCTCTCTCATTGATGTTTCTATCTCTCTCTCCCTCTCACTTCCTCTCTCTCTAAAATGAATAAAGAAAAAAAATAAGTTGAGAAAAGAAAAACTTTCTCTGGGATCAGTGCCCAGAGAAATATACCAGAGTGAATGGAAAGGCTTTAATAGAGGGGCAGACAGGAAGCTCATTTGGGAGGCTCACAAACAGATGCAAATTCTGCAGTGTGTCTTCAGGTACTATCTCTCGAATGGTTTTTTACTTTGCAGATGCAGCCATTTGTGGGTTCCTGTATATTTGATGTCCATGCATATGCACTTAAAGGAGTCGGGTCTATTTAAAATCTTCAGGGGATACTGCATAGCTTTACAGAAAATGAAGTAGATCTGAGTAGGCTGATAGGTAACAACTTTCAATATATAATGTAATGTTATTTAAGAAGCAAGAGACAGGGTGCTGTGTGCCATATGATGCCATTGGAGTGTATAGATTTCAGACACGTATGGGTGCTGATACATGGATAAAACTCAGCCTGGAACAACTCGCAAGATACATAACAATAATGGGAGTGGTCCAGAGGTTGGGAAAGGAAAGATGCTTTTATTTTATACCCTTTTTACTCTTTAAATATATATATGTATATATATTTTTAATCCTCACCCAAGGATATTTTTCTATTTATGTTCAGATGGGGGGGTGGAGACATCACTGTGAGAGAGACACATCGATGGGTTGCCTCCTGCATGACTCTACATATTTTTAAGCACTTGTATGGACTTCTTTTAAAAATTAATAAATACGTTTTTGAGTCTTCACAGTAAATATTTTATAGCTTGTGTTTTCTAGATCTCTAATGTCCTTTTTTGTTGTTGTTAATCCTCACTGGAGGATATTTTTTCCCATTGATTTTTGGAGATAGTGGAAAGGAAGGGGTAGGGGGAGAGACAGAGAGACATTGATGTGAGAGAGACACATTGCCACCCACATGCCCCCCCACAGGGGCCAGGATGAAACCTGCAACCCTCTGGTGCGTGGGCTGATGCTCTAACCACTTAGCAGTGCTGCCCAGGGCTAGATGTCTAATGTCCTTGAATGCCTCTGTACACACACACACACACACACACACACACACACACACACACGATTTCTTCGAGTAGCATCATTGGGTTCAAGGCTCTGAAGAGTCCTGAAGTAAGGACAACTACTTACACTGTAGCTCAGCAGTGCCCAGATGTCTTTGACAAGGGCCCCTTTTCTGTGTGAAATGCCTTTTAACACCCCAGGGCACACTTCTGTGCTCTTCCTGAGGTTATGGTTAGATGGAGCTGAAAGCATCATTTACTTAGACCGCCTTGTACAGGCTCTCCAACGTGGGATCCCCGTGTTTAGGTCCAGTTCTTATGTTTGGGTGTTGGACGACAACGGCTAGGAAATGCCCCTTTGCTGGCAAGGGAAAGAGAGCCCTTCAGACTGTGAGCACCTACTGTACACAAGGAGCTGAGCTGGGGCAAGTCTTGTACATAAAAAGGATCAGAAGAACATTTCCAAATCCTGGTGGTCTTGTCCTGTCCCAGGGCTGGGGATCTGGCTGGACCCCTCAAATGTGAACTACAGTAACTGGCACAGAGGACAGGCCTCTGCTGCTCCCGACACCTGTGGCTACATCGGGAGAGACCCCTCTTCCAGGTGGGGTGCCTCAGACAGCTGCCTGCACGCAGTCGTTAGCCTGCATCTGCGAGTTTGGTGAGCTGACCTCTGTGGTGGGGTCTACTTCCTTCCGCCTGTCTCTTTCTGTCTCTCTGTCCGTGTCTCTGTCCCTACCTCTGTCTCTCTGTCTCTATCTCTGCTGTCTATCCCTATGTGTTGGTATCATTTAGCCTCTGTCTCTCTGCTTCCATCTCTGTCTCCCTGTTTCTCTCTGTGTGTCTCTAAATGCCTGCCTGTCTCTATGTGGTGCTCAGTCTCTCTGTGTCTCACTCCGTCTCCGTAGCTCATATCCCCACTCTTCCTGTCCACTTACCTGCCTATTCGTCTTCCTTGTCTCTCTCTGTCTTTCTTCCTCCTATTCCTGAATCCAGGGGGAAATGCTCACTCACCCTTGACTCCTGCTCCCTGGCCAGCCTGCATTTGATCCCCCCCATGCCCACATCCCACCAACTCCCAAGTGCTCTTCTCTGTGCCCCTTCTAACTGCTGCCCATATCTGACTCCCAGTGCAGGCCCTGGGGACAAGAGCCCCTGCACGAGTGGGCGTGGCTGCACACCAGGTCCTGCCCACTAGGTGGAGACTGGCCCTGGGGCCTGGTCTTGGAGCTGGGCCTCCTCCTGGTCCCCTGACCCACAGCCAGTCTTGATAGAAGCTTCTGGGCTTCCTGGGTCCGGCCCCTCCCTGGCTCTACGCTCCTGGCTCCCAGGCCGTCCTGGGTTTGGACACCTACAGGAGGCCCTGCTCTGGTCCTCCCCGCCCCAGCTTTAAGTGGGCACACCGGCTTGCCTCCCCCCGCCTGACCGCGCCAAGAAATCTGGACGCGCCCGTGAATCCCTCCCTGGTCTGTGCATTACACAGCTTCCTTCTTTTTATCACAGCCCCTTAAGTCCCTGCTCCCTCCGCCACCCCCAACATCGCCACCCCAACATCGAGCCTGTGTCTCAGACTGTCAGGGTTTTGGAGCCCTGGCGTGAGGTCACACTATGAAGAACTAATGAGCATCAAGCAGAAGTTCCCGTGCTGAGCCGGGCGCGCCATGTACATTTATTCACCGTAACAGAAGTCCCTCCACCGTTCTATTGTAGGCCTATTGTAAAGCTAAGGAAAGTGGGGCTCAGAAAGGGTAAGTCCCTTGTCCAAGGCCACGCAGCTGGGAAGTGACCGAGATGCGACCTGAACCTTGCCGATGGTCAGAGAGAGAACCTGGAAAATGCCACAATGCTGGCTTTGAAGATGGAGGAAGGGGCCGCGGTCCAAGGGATGCAGGTGGCCTCTAGAAGTTGGATGAGGCAGGAAACAGATTCTCCCCTGGAGCCTTCAGAAGGAACCAGTCCTGCCCACACCTTGATTTTAGCCCATTGGTGGACTTCTGACCTTCATAATTATAATATGATAAATTTGTGCTGTTTTCAGCCACTAAGTTTGTGGCAATTTGTTACAACAACCATAGAAAATGAACACAGATTTGGTTTCAACCCCTGTTCTGTGGCATTCCCACCAGGCAGACAGGCCTGAGTCTGAATTCAGCATTTCCCCCTTCCTGGCTGTGTACAACTGAGCCAGGTCATTCTTTTCCAACAAATTCTTATGAGCATGGACCAGGCGCCAGGAGCAGGGCTGATGTGGGGTTTTTGGCACCGTGACCCCCCTGAGCCCCATGTCCCTAATGGGAGGAATAATAGCTCAGCTCATAGGATTGATTAAAGACTCACTGAAATCACTCATTCATTCAACAAATGCTTGTTTGGCATCTATTCTATCATGTACCAGGCATTGTTTTCAAATAAGGCTCAGCAAAGGTACTTGAAGTAGATAGAATAATAGTTGCCACTTGACTAGCCCATACTCAGAATGCACAAACTCACTTAATCCTCTTAATGACCTTATGGAGGATGGTATAGACTCCCCCTTACACAAAGGAGGCACAGAGAAGCTAAGTAATTTGCAGAGGGTCACACAGCCACTAGATGGTTGGGCTGGGTCTGCCCTGGGCAGTCTATCTCTAAGGAATACTCTCACCCCTGCTGAGTCAGCTTCTGCTGTGTCCTCGCATCTCACAGTCTGACCGCTGAGACTCTTCCACTTCCCATCAACCAGGCACTTGCCCATCCATGACCATAGGCCTCCTAAGTGTCTCCTTATCTTCGTACAGGTGTCGACCAGAGTCTGGCCTGTGAGGGCTTCAATGCCAACATGCACTGTGGCTCGGGGGAGGTCGTCCAGATCCAGGATGCCTTCTGTGGGTGCCAGACTCCCCATTATTGCACCCAGGACTCCGAGCGCCCCTTGGACCTGGAGGAGGAATGCAGCTGGGTCAATGTGCTTTTTTCCCTCTTTATCTTATTTTTTCCTCAAGGTACTATCCATCTTGATGCATATGGAGCTAGTTTGTTTCATCTATGGTATGACTGTGCCACAGTCTGTCTCTTCCTCTGTCGAGAGCTGTGTGGGTTGAGTCTTAGTCCTTGCTACTGTGAATCATGTAGTGTCTCTTGTTCACTTGGGAGACTTTCCCTAGGACCTGTTTTTCTAAATCAGATTATATCTGCCTCTGAGCTGCATTTGCCCCATGGCGATTATTTACTTTCAGGGAATATGGGGGCTCTCTGCACCTCCTGAGGGGTGCAAAGGCCCCAGAAACCTCTGTCGTCCGGGACACAGGGGAGCCCTCTGCTCGCTGCTGCAGTGACTGCTGCATGCAGGGTCCTGTGAAAGCAGGTGGTCTGTGTAAGCCAGGGAGGAACTCAGGGCCCTTCTCTCAGGCTTCTCTGCACTTATTGCATTCATCTGCATAGGCAGGAGAGAGGGGTGTCTGTATCAGCAAGACCCTGAGGTTCTGGCCTGGGCTCTCCACTCCCCTCCCTCCTGCGGGCACCGGGTGCCCTGGTAACCACAGATTTCCTAATCTTGTCCTGTCTTTGCCAGTTCTCAGGGTCTAGATTTCAACGTTAGGCCACTTGACTAGATGCCACGGGACCAGTAGTTCTCAAAGAGGAGTCCCTGGGCCAACAGTGTAACATCACGTGGAAGCTTGCTAGAAAAGCAGATTCTCAAGCTGCCTTCCACATCTACTGACTCACAAACCCTCCAGGGAGTGCTGGTGCAATCTAAAGTTTGAGAACCACTGGGATGGACCCTGAACTGCTTGAGGATAGGGATCCTACTTCTTTCTCCCCCAGTATCTAGCACAGTGCGTGGTCTTCCGTAGACACCAACTGGTACTTGTTGGGCAGATGGTGAGTGAATGAATGAACGCGAGGTCATTCGTCTCTGTCTGAACCTATCCCTTTATGTCCCTCACACTGTTCCTGCTTCTGCTGGGATGTGGGTGTTTCCCAGGACAGTGCCAGGGGCTGCAGGCATGCCAGGTGGCAGCAAACGGGACCTGCGCCTCACCAGGGGCAGCTACCTGTGGGTGCAGTACCAGCGTTGGGAAGGTGAGTCTCCAGCTTGCCGGGCCATGGGAATTCCCTTCTTGTTTCCATGCTAGGTCCAGCCCCCCTTGAAGCAGAGGGAGCAGCCACCCATGGGGGCTCTCTACTGTGTGCTAAGGGACTCCCTAAGCCAACACTGCTGTCATGGGCCTGGTTTAGACTGGGGATAAAGTATTTGAAGGTCCTGTGGCAGAAACAAGCTGTCAAGCCAGAAGTTTAAATGACATATATACTGTTTAGCCCCAGGACCCTTCAATTTAAATTTCATAGGTTGCCTGGCCCGTGTGGCTCAGTGGTTGAGCATGGACCCATGCACCAAGAGGTCACCGGTTTGATTCCCGGTCAGGGCACATGCCCAGGTTGTGGGTCAAATCCCCAGAGGGGGGCATGCAGGAGGCGGCCAATTGATGTTCTCTCTCATTGATGTTTCCATCTCTCTCTCTTTTGCCCTTCCTCTCTCTTTAAAATCAATAAAGAAAATAAAATTTTTAAATAAATTTCATGGGTTGACCCAATAAATATAAGACAAATCCAAGGTTACTTGATTGAAAGGAGTCAAAAGATCTCTCCCCCACGCCACACCCATTCAACCACCGCTCTTCCTTTAGGCTGCCTTTGGAGTACAAATCTTGAAAGCTATAAAAATAGCCCACATTACCACAATTTACAAAAGTTTTATAAATCAAGGAGGAAGAATCCCTCTCTTTAGTTCTACAATCTTATTCCCCGTAACCAAAGCACCATTAACTGTTTAGAATAAATTCTTTCCCGCTTTTAAAAATGTTTTCATAGCTTGGCTTGTGTGGCTCAGTGGATTGGGCGTGGTCCCATGGACTGAGAGGTCCCGTTGGACTCCTGGTCAGGGCACATGCCTGGGTTTCGGGCTCGATCCCCAGTAGGGGGTGTGCAGGAGGCAGGCAATCAATGTTTCTCACATAGATATTTCTATCTTTCCCTTCCTCTCTCTCTAACAATTCAATAAAAATATGTTTTAAAAAATGTTTTCATAGACACGGCTGTGCATGAATTTATATGTGTATATTTTTACAAAAATATAATCATGTAAAATATATTAGTCTATAACTCATTTGTTTCACTTAATTTTATACACACACACACACACACACACACACACACACACACACATCCTGGACATCTCTTCACGTCACTAGCCTATTCTTTTAACGACTGCGTAGTATCCCATCATAAGATTATGTCAAAATCTATTTAACCAGTTCCCCTACTGATAAACATTTAGGTTGCTTCCGATATTTTGTTGTTACGTATCACTCTGCAGCGCCCTCTTATACATTCTTGTGCATGTATCTTGGCATGTGCCTGGGACTGTTTTTAGAGGAGAGATCCCTAGCAGTGGAAAGGCTGAGTCACAGGGTATGTGCATTTTAAACGTTAATAGATATTGATCAGTTACCCTCCAAAATCGCTGTATTGATTTATATTGCCGCTAACAGTGTAGGAGGGGCCGGTTTCCCCTGTGGCTGTGAAACCACATTACGCCCTTTTCCAACACATTAATCGGTCAGAACAGCACCTTCCATTGAGGGCATGTGCAATGATGCAAGGAGCTCTGAAGGGAAAAGATGAGTCAGGGAATGTTGAGGTCCCCAGGGACCATGCAGGGGAGCAGGTACAGGAGCAGGTACAGGAATGGGAGGGTGGGGTGGGAGTCACGTTTTCCCAGGGACATGAGTTTGCTGGACATGCTTGGGTGGAATAACAGTGAGCAAGGTGTCTTACTTCTAACGTCTATTTTCTGGGAAGAGGAGGCCACGTGTCTTGGCGGCACTTTCCATTCGGTGGTTTTGCTAACTGACAAAGAGTGCCCTTGGGTGCTCTGCCAGTCCTGATGTTGCTGTCATTGGGCAGGGGTTGAGTGGGGTCTGGCAACCACACGGTTCAGATTTTCTGCTCCAACTTTGTTTCAGATATCCTGTTTCCTTGTGAATCAGTGTGCTCTGATCACAATCAGGTTCTAATGTGTGAAGGAAGGGACTTTATCTGAAGTCCCCACCCCCGACTATGCCCAGAAGGGCCTAGTTGCATCGTGACTGTCCTCAGTAGTTGTGAATCAGGACCTGGATGAAAGTCTTTTTTATTTGCATTCAGCTTCTTCTCCCTTCCCATTTGTGCTCCGAAATGAAGGATTACGCTGTACAAACTAGCCCAGGGCTGTGTGAAGACCCAGCAAATTCTACCTTTCACCCCATCCTCCGTGCCAACTTTTGAAGCTCAAGGTTTTGTAAAATTTAATGTGCACTTAAATGCCTTGCAATGAATCATCAGCCACCTTAGCCAAGTAGATTTTCTTAAAGGTGCTTTGCCTTTTTGTCTTTGCAAACATTGTAAAATACACTTGGACAACCAATAGAATCCTGGTAAGTAAATTATGGTACATTGTGCAGCTATTAAAAAGAACAGGGCAGCTCTAACTGAATTTATATAGAACAATCTCTAAGATACATTAGGTAAAAGAAATGGAAGGTGTCAGATAATGAATATAGTATGCACCTTTTGTATAAATAGAAAAGTACATACGTGCTTGTGAATGTGTAGATATATCTCTGGAAGGTAACCTGGGAGACTGGTAACAGTGGTTGCCTCTGGAGAGCAGAACGGAGGGGCTTGAGATAGGGCTGTGTGTGTGTGTGTGTGTGGGGGGGGGTATACATTTCAAATTCTGTATCTTGGTCATGTATTACCAATGAACAAAAAATAACACTCAGAAGACCTTTCAAAAGTAAAACTAAAATTTAAAAAACTTTAAAAGCCCCACCTAAAGATGCAGGACAGGTTGATAGAAGAGAGTGGGTTTTAAACATGCAGTTTTGCTCTGCAGTGGCTCATGGTCTTCTGTGTTTTCATCTGCAGGCCTGCAGCTGGCGGTGTCCAATGCGAGTTTCATCTTCGACAACGTCACCATCTCTCTGACGTGGCTCCTCTCTCCCTACATTGGAAACCTGTCCTGTGTAATTAGTATGGGGGATGGCCACACTTTTGATCCCTACTACCTACCCAGGTAAGAGCTTTTAGTCAGGATGTATCAGTCAGTTTTTGCTGTATAACAAAACATCCCCAAACTTACAATACTATATATTATTTGTATTATATATTATTTGGCATGGTTCTTTAAATCAGCGAGGTAGATTTTCTTGTCTGAACTGGCTCAGCTGGGGCTGTGTGGCCTAGAAAGGCCTCACTCACATGTCCAGTGGTCAGCTGCATGTCAGCAAGGGGCATGTGTTTCACCACCCAACAGGCTAGCCTAGGCTCACTTGAGTGGTGGCGGAAGAGTTTCTGGCAGCGAGTGAGAGCAAAGCCCAACGGGCAAGCACCTTTCACATCTACTTGTGTCACATTTTTAATGACCCATTGGCCAAAGCAAGTTTCATGGCCAAGCCCAGATTCAGCAGGTGGAGAAACAGTCTATACACATGTTGATGGAAGAAATGGCAGAGCCGCAGAATGAAGGGGCATACATAGGGCAATGGGAGAAACTGATGCTCACCGGTTTCTCATGGTGGAGCCACGTGAACAGTCGTGGAGAGCTGGGTCCTTTTGGCTGGGTGCTGTGTAGAATCCCTCCTGGGTCATTGTCCGAGGGGTTTGGTAGTGGGGTAAAGAAGGGGCTTACCTAGGTATGGGAATGTTTTTTATTGGTAAGGATGATAAAAATAATCGTAGCGATATAAATGGTCCAGCCAAGCAGTTTTCACAATAATCTCACTAGAACTGTGCTCTCTGATGTCAGAGCCACTCACTATATGAGCTACCGAGCACTTGAAAAGTGGCTGTTCTCCATTAGGTAGGCTGTAAATGTAAACCACACATGAGATTTTCTTTTTCTTTTTTTATCCTCACCCGAGGACATTTTTCCAACTTTTGTACAGATGGAGTGGGAGGGAGAGAGAGGGAAAGAGAGAGAGAGAGAAACATCGACGTGAAAGGGACACATCGAGTGGCTGCCACCCGCACGACCAACCAGGGCCGGGGCCAAACTGCAACCGAAGTACGTGCCCTTAGCGGGAACCGAACCCGGGTCTCTCCGGACCGCAGGCCAATGCTCTAACCGCTGAGCCAAACCGGCCAGGGCCACACATGAGATTTTCAAGACTGAAAATCTCCCCCCAAAATAATGTAAAATATCTCACGAATAATATTTACATTGATTATACATGGAAATGATAGTACATTGGATATATCGAGGTAAAGAAAATAAATTATTGAAACTAATTTCACCTGTTTCTTACTTTTTTCAATGTGGCTATTAGAAAATTTAAAATTACACATGTGGCTCAGACTGTTTGCATTGGATGGTGCTGAGCTAGATAATTATTATCTTGTGTTTTTTGTTTTTTTTTAATTAATCAATTTATTTTTGTTAATAATAACAAAGATCCCCAGAGGATCTTTTCCCATTGATTTTTAGATAGAGTGGGAGGGAGGAACGAAGGGAGGGTGAGAGAGAGAAACCTCGTTTGGTTGCTTCCCGCACGACCCTGATCAGGGCTGGGGATTGAACCTGCAACCCAGTTCGCCTCCTAGTCAAGGTATGTGCCCTTGACTAGGAAGCGAACCCACAACCCTTTGGGCTGAGGGCTGATGTTCTAACCGCTGAGCCAAACCAGCCAGGGCAATTATTATCTTGTTTTTACAAAAGTCAACGGTGTTGCCCAAGCCACGTGGCTAGTGCGGGGCAGGCCTGTGACGTAAGCAGGACCGTCTGGCCTTGAACAGAGCTCAGGCTCTGAGGCCCCTGGTGGCTAACACGGCCCACAGCACTGAAGCCTGAGGGCACGACCCCCCCGCCACATCCTCCAGGAAACGGTTACCTCCCCAACCTGACAATAGCTAAACCCAATTCACAACATTTTAAAGTCCTACCTGGGCCTGGGTGAGCTCCATTCTGCCCAGCAGGAGGGGTGCCCCAGACTGTTTCAGAAAATCCTGTTTCTTCTTTGGATTCTGGGGCTCCTTACAGGGACCCCCAGTTCAACATGGATCTCCATGAAATATGGAGGTATGAGCCTTTCTTCTAACCCCCACATATCTCCAGTTCTGCCCTGTCACATTTATATTGAGGGCTGCCTTGACTGGAGTAAAATGAGAAATTACATGTGAAGATGTTTGAGTAATACAATATGGATGGCATTGTTCTTTAGGTTTCTTTCTACTTGCGACCATTTCATCAATAAATCAATAAATGCTGTTTCACAATCCTTAACCCCCAACTTGTATAGAACTTGAATTTGGCTTAAATCAAAATTCACTGTCTGTAGCCCTGCTAAGACTTTCAGTTGCACCAGGACATTATAGTAATTAACAGTAGTTACAAACTGGAGCCAATGGAACAAAATCCAAATATCTGTCCACTCAGGATGGTGAGTCCAAGTGCGTTTGTCATATTACTTTCTGAATTCTCTGTGTGATTAAATTTTTTATAATCTAAGACAAATAACAATAAGCAATGCTTTACATTTGCAATCCCTCTTGGCATGAGCTCTAAGTGAAAGTGACTGGCATTCTTTTTTTCTCTTTCAGAAGAAATAGATGGTGATACCCTCTGCCATCACCCCACCTGCATAATCAGATTTCCTCTCCTTTAAAGACTTATTAGGCCCTGGCCAGTTTGGCTCAGGGGTTGGAGCGTTGGCCTGTGGTCCAGAGAGACCCAGGTTTGGTTCCCGCTAAGGGCACGTACCTCAGTTGCAGTTTGTCCCCGGCCCTGGTTGGGTCGTGCGGGAGGCAGCCACTCAATGTGTCCCTTTCATGTTAATGTTTCTCTCTCCCTCTTCTTCCCACTCTATCTGAACAAAGAAAAAAAAAAAAAAAAAAGGAAAAATGTCCTCGGGTGAGGATTAAAAAAAAAGATTTATTAGACCTTGAAACTACCCACCCACCTTCTTCTATCATTTTTATTAACACTGGGAAATATATTTCTGATGCTTTCTAATCAGTATTAGCAGCCTCAGCACTCCATTTACAATGCAAAATGGCATGAGTTTTAAGTATACAGAAGTCACATACTCCGTGTGGACGTCACTGTGCTTTTCTTGTATGTGTTTGTACAGACTCCTACTTCTGCTTAGCTCCTTGTTAGGCTAAGACCTAAATCAGACACTCTCTCTCCATTGTAGATAAACAACAGGAGCTGCCTGATGGGGAGAATCCAACCTCCAACAGAAACATCTTTAATACAAGTCAAACGCTTGCTCCTTACAAGCCTCTTCTCGCCTCGCACTGCCCCGTCTCGTGTACATTCGCATGGCAGGCTGTTTTGTTTCTCTGTCTCGGAAAACCATCTACATTTCTGAAATTATGTACCTTACGGAACAATTTGCGTAAAGTGAAATCTGTCCAAGTCCAGGGTTAGTGAACTCAGCGCCTCCGGGGACTGCCATTCTTCTTCCGTCTGTTCAGAGTCACCGACGCGCGGCCAAGTCTGGAGCGGGACTTCCCTGGGAACCGAGTGCACAAGCCAACATAAGCCGTAGGGTGACTTAGATGTAAACAGGCTGTTGGGAGGCACAGAAGAGAGAGAACCCTGTGGAGGATGACGGTCAGAAAGGAGTGTAGAGCCGAAGTCCTTCGTGGGGGACCAGAAATAGGCAGGAACAGAGAATGCAGAGGAAGGGAAGTCATGGATGTGGGGAACTGTGAGCACTGCACTACACCGGGAGCTCAAGGGTATGTGTGGAAAACGAAAGCTGGAAAACTCAAAAGGGGTGTGGTGATGAAGAGTCTTGATGGCTTGATACTTGCCAGTTAAGAGATTGTTTTTAGGAGAGTGTACAGATTAGGCACCAGGAAACAGGCTCTGACTTGGGGTGCAGGAGGTTTCCTGGGGGTACTACGACAGGGCAGGTGGAGAAGTTGGCCTGAGATGTAGTAGCAGCACAGGCCCCACTGACACTGAGCAGCTACTGATGCAGATGTCCCTGGGGAGGGGATGTCACCTTGGGAGAGGTGATTCCCTTTGATTAAGAATTCCTAGAGCCCTGGCCAGTTTGGCTCAGCGGTTAGAGAGTCGGGCTGCGGTCCAGAGAGACCCGGGTTCGGTTCCCACTAAGGGCATGTACCTCAGTTGCAGTTTGTCCCCGGCCCTGGTTGGGTCATGCGGGTGGCAACCACTCGATGTGTCCCTTTCATGTCAAAGTTTCCCTCTCTCTCTCTCTTCCTCACTCTCCCTCCCACTCTATCTGAACAACAACAACAACAAAAGTCCTCAGGTGAGGATAAAAAAAAAAAAAAGAATTCCTAGAGATGGTTCAGCTGTGAGCCCACAGTCTCTATCATGCCAAGATGCTGGGGGTAGGGATGAGGTTGGGGGAGCAGGCCTCGGTCTTGATGGGTGGAATCTGGGTGACATGCCACCACATCCACTACAAAGGATATACAAGAATCTTTAGATCACGGAGTTATATGATCTATATGATCTGTGGTTATTAGTACTGCTGGTTTAACTAATACTCACTGGGTAATTAAAGGAGTAAATGGAACTACAATGAGTAACTGGTATAGAGTTGATTCTAAAAAATGGGTAATTGTTGCTATTATATCAATATTACATAAAAGCATATACTACTTTTATTTAATGGGCTAAGTGCATAAATGGCGTCCTATTATACAAAAAGCTACACTATTTTAGTCTCTTACATGCCAGATACCCACTCAGTCATGGTATCACTTAAACCTTACAACCCAGCCAGGAATAGCTCTCGCCTCACTTTATGGACAGGGGCACTGAGGCGCAGAGAGGTTAACTGAGTCATTAGGTTGTGCAGGTAACCCTTTCCATTCCGGCACACTGCCCGTTTTGGTCAGATGGCTTCGCCCACCAGGCTGGCTGGTGATCTGTGAGCGACATAAGCAGAATGACACAGACTATGGTGTTCTTAACAATTGGACATTATAAATGAAAACCAAAAATGTGAGCTTTCTTCTCCACTTTCTTTTTAAGTTGCATCCCATTAATGTCAAACATCAATGCAGTGTATACAAATCAGTGAGTGACAGAGTCTTGAACCAATTTTTAAAGTTTTTATTGAAGCATAATATACGTACAGGGAAGTGCTAAAAAGATACAGATCAAGTCGTTTTTACACAATGAACACACCCATGTAACGAGCACCCAGATCAAAAAACAAAACATGGCCAGTCTCCCAGAAATCCCCCTGTGCCCTCCAAGGATTCTAACATCATCGAAGAGCGTGACCTATATTTGAAACTTATATAAATAGAATCTTATAAAATATATCCTCTTTTGTGTCCAGCTTCAGTTCAATAGTTGTGAACTGAACTACTGTTTTGCATAATTGGGGTTTCTTTTTTTCAAATCGCTGTGTAACATCTCATTGTGTGAATATATATCAATTTACCTATCCATTCTAGCAATGATAGGCATTTTGAGTCGTTCCCCATTTGGGACATTATAAGTTGTGCAGCCATGAACATTGTAGTGTGTGTCTTTTGGTGCATATATGTACACATTTCTGCTGGGTTTATAGCGAGGAGTGGAATTACAGCAAATCCACAGGATCATAGCACAACAGTTAAACTTGTCTACCTCTCTTTGTACTTCGAGCATGTCTTCCCTTTGCTGGCAGCAGTTTCTAAAACCACTTTGCAAAAGTCTTCTCTTCGGGTGAGATCAATGGGAGAGAAATAAAAAAAAAATCCATTTCTCTGCCTTTTAGACAATTTCTGTTGGCACCAGAGTTTAAACATAGCAAAATGCCTTTTCCAGCTAGATCCCTGAAACACTGGCTGGATTTTGCTATTCAAAACCATCCTTCACATATCCATAAAGAGTTAGCATTTTCTTCTTCTAAAGTTTACATGATCTGATATTAACAGTGACCACTCCGACATTCTTCTGAATGCTGGCAGATCTTTCTTCGACCCTTTTACTTTTAACCTATCTATCTCATCATATTTAAAGTGGGTTTTTTGTAGACAGTATATGGTTGAGTCTTAGTTTTCTAATATCCCTTTTGGCACAAGAATTGGTGTGCTTAGAGCATTTACAATTAATGTAATTATTGCTATTGCTGGATTTAGATATATTATTTTGGTAATTGTTTTCTGTTTGGCCCCTCTATCTCCCACCCCTGGTTCCTCTCCTTTCTTGGCTTCTTTTTGATTACTGGATATTTTTAGTATTCCATTTTAACTTAACTACTGGCTTTTTGTTGTTGTTGTTGTTGTTGTTGTTGTTATATCTCTTTGTATTACTTTTTTTAGTAATTGCTTTGGGGATTTCTATATGCCTTTCACAGTCTAGTTAGAGTTATTATTATACTACTTCAAGTAAAATGTTGAAGCCTTACAAACATATAGGTCCCTTTGTCTGTCTATCTTTATGTTGTAATTGTCATGTGTAGGACATCTACATACATGGAAACCCCTTTCAACAATCATACATATTTTAAAGAACTTAAGAGGAAAACCAGTCTATACAGTTACCAAGATATTTACCATTCCTTGTGCTCTCCCTTCATTCCTGAAGTCCTGAGTTTCCCCGGTATCACTTCCCTTCAACTGGAAAAACTTCCTTCACCAATATTTTTTTTTAATTTAATTTTCTGGCAAAATTCTCTTAGAGAATTTCTTTATTCCTGAGAATGTCATTATTTTGCTTTAATTCCTAGAAGATATTGTTGCTGGATATAGAATTATGTGTTGACAATTCTTTTCTTTCAACTCTTTAAAGATGTTGTTCACTCTCTTCTGACCTCCATGGTTTCTGAGGAGAAATCTGTAGTCATTCAAATCACCATTTTCTCTATATGTAATGTGTCATTTATTTCAGGCTGATTTCAAGATGTTTTTAAGCAGTTTGGTGATTATGTGGGTATGGTTTCAAAGGTCTTTTTTTTTTTCCTTTTTGGGCTTTACAGAGCTTCTTGAATCTTTATGTGTTTTGCCAAACTTGGGAAGTTTTCGGTTATTATTTATTTATTTATTTATTTATTTATTTATTTATTATTATTTTTATTTTTTATCCTCACCCAAGGACATTTTTTCCATTTTTTGTTCAGATAGAGTGGGAGGGAGAGAGAGAGAGAGAAACATCGACATGAAAGGGCACGTCGAGTGGTTGCCACCCACACGACCCAACCAGGGCCGGGGACAAACTGCAGCCGAGGTACGTGCCCTTAGCGGGAACCGAACCTGGGTCTCTCAGGACCACAGGCCAACGCTCTAACCACTGGGCAAAACCGGCCAGGGCCAGTTATTATTTTTTCAAATACATTTTTCTACACCAATCTCTTCTCACTGGTGCTCTAATAACACAAATGGTTTCCATTTTAATATTATTACACAGATTCCTGATGCTGTGCTCATTTTTAAAAATGTAATATTTTTTTTCTCTCTGTCCTTCAGATTGGATAACTTCTCTTGCTCTATCTTCAAGTTCATGGGTCTTTTCCTCTGCTGTCTCTAGTCGTCTGCTATTATACTCTCCAGTGAATTTTTAAATTTCAGATATTGTGTTTTTCACTTCTGAAGTTCCTGTTTGGCTCTTTTTTATAGTTTCCATATTTTTGCTGAGAATGTCTTTCATTCATTTAAACAGCATTTACATTTACCTCATAGAGCATGGTTACAATAGCTGATTATAAGTCTTTGTCTGATAATTCCTACATCTGAGTCATCTCAGGACTGACATCTATTGATTATGTTTTCCCATGAAATCTGATCTCATTTTCTGATTCTTTGTATATCAAGTACTTTTGGATTACATTCTAGACATGTTGAATAGTAGGTTCTGAGACTTTGGGTCCTGTTAAAATCCTCTGGAAAAATGTTAACTTTTCTGTTTTGTTGTTTTGGTAGGCAACAAACCCAGTTGGATTCTGACTTGCCTTCTATGAGTGGTGGTTCCCATGTCAGTTCAGTTTTCAAAGCTCCTTGGATCTGTCCCATTCATGTACTTCTTGGGGTGGTGGTTTACGTTCTAATTTAGTTTGCAAGCCTTTCCTATATTTCTTTGGGTCTTTTCTACACGTGTATAGTTTGTGGACGAGCTCATGATTTATGCTGGGTCATGCACTGAATCAGGGCATCCTCATCTCTAGACATCTCCTTTTCAGGACTTTCCTCAATGTCACCAGCTCCCACAGGTCCCTTTTCATGGTTCCTCTGGATAGAAAGATGAATTTCTTTTAGTGGGGATTTGGACGTCTGCATCACCCCACAAGGTCAGTGTAGCTTCGAGAGAGGAGAGCCTGGCACAGGGCCAGGAGGGGGGAAAAAAGAGAGAAATAGCACAAAACAAAAACAGGTATTCCTTCTGTACGCTCAGGCTCACTGACTGGATCCCTTTTCCTGGTTCTCTGGCTAAACAGAGGGGATTTCTCTTGGGGTTTTCATTTTATTTACTTACTGTGCAGTTTCATGACTCGGGCTACTCTTAGAATAAAGCCAAGAGATAAAGGAGATTTTTTCAAAAAGACACAGAAAAGGAAAACTCCCATCTTCATGAGTGAATCTTAAAGTTTGACTTTCCTTCCCAATCTGCCTATTTTTTGTTTGTTTACTTATTACTTTTGAGTCTTCAGGTAGTTTTTTTTTTCCTGATTTCTGTCCAGGTATTTCATTGTGATCAATGGAAGAAATAAGCTATGGTAGGCTTATTCCATTTGGCTGGCACCAAGAATCAGGTTACTGTTATCTAAGCCTTTTCACAAATATGTTCATTTGTCAACTATTTCTCGAACACTAGCTATGTCACAGGCTCTATGCTAGGTGCCGGGTATGTAACAGATACAGCTTAGCAGAGAAGAGTGACAGTGAATAAACAAGCACACAGGCGTGGCTGTCACCCAGGAGAAGCAGCAAAGCTATGGCAGTAAAGGAAACCTAAGGAAGGCTTCCCTGAGGAAGTGATGTTTAAGCTGAGAACCAAAGGAAGAGCATGAGCATGAGCAAAGATTAGTGCACTTACAGGCCTTAAGGTGAGCAAGAGGTGGCATGTTCTGAGAACTGAAAAAGAGGTCTCAGTGTACATACAGTTAGAGAGGTATGGCAGGAGATGGGGAGGAGGTCGGAGGGGAGGTCACGTGCACCTTTGCAGATGATCTCAGAGATTTTTAATTAGTCCCCTTGGGAAAATGAGGCAAAACAAACCCATAATTTTGACATGTTTGGAATCTGACCCATTTCACAGATGAGGAAAATAAAGCTCAGAAAAGTAGGCTGGGGCATAGTATTTTACAGATGAAACAAGAAGACTCAGAGAGGGTATTTGTGTGAGTCACAGAGGGAATAAATGGAACAAGATGGACTCAGAGCCAAATATTCACCTCCACGGTTGGTCAGTGCTATTTCTTCCACTCTCACTTGCTCCAGGGTTCTCACTGTCATCTTTGCAAACACCGAGAGCTTGGTTGTGTAGCATCTTTTCCTTCATCTGTTTATCTTTGCAGAGCAGAGAGGGTGTGAGGTGGGTGACTGCACTTGTTGCATGCATGTGTGAATGCACATGTTTGCATGTTCCCAATGCTGGTAACGTTCTATTTCAGTTTGTCCAGCAACGTGATCCACCAATTCACAACCCCTGGGGAATGCACCATGTTTGCTGAGTGCACAACCAGTGAGTGGCATGTGACGGCTCCTAAGCAAGTGACAATTCAAGACAAGATGGAGAGACTCAGTGTTACTGGGTGCTCTGGCCTGTCCAAGTCAGGAGTCCGCCTTCTCTGCCGGGCTATCTTTGGGGGCCCTATGTAGATCTAGGTGGAGCTCTATGGAGGTGAGTTTTCAGAAATGGTCAAGGTCAAGGCAACCTTGATCTCCCCTAAATTTATCCATCCAACTCCTAGGCTTTAATAAATACTAAGAGCAATCACTTGTCAGGTTAGTTTTTTAGTTATTCATTTGTTTAGCACCTCAAGTGTGCCAGGAATTGCTCTAAGTGCTACACATAGACTAGCCCACCCAGTGTGTACTAACTATTATTATCTCCATTCTACAGATGGAAAAATGGAGGAAATGTTCAGAGGCAAGGGTTCAAAGTTACAGGCTATTAAGCTAGTGAGAACGCCCAGCTTTCTAAAGGCCCTTCTTTGCATGCACATAGCCCCATCTCAAGGATTAAACGTTAAGACACTCCTTATGGTGGGTATTCGAACAGGACTGGGAGTGCTACGGCTGGGACTGCCCATCTCAACGCAGTCAGCCTTGACCAAATTGGTACAGTTGTGTTGCCCCAAGTCAGGGCTGATATTCAGCCGCACCCACTGCTACAGCCATAGCAGCAGCCATGGCTGGTGTCCATTCTCACTGGTCACAGTTTCTTTTCTGATTGGTCACAGACGCCATTCTAATCATGTCCATTTTGATTAGTCAAAGTGTCCATTCTGATTGGTCATAGCAACATTTCTCATTGGTCACAATGTCCATTCTGATTGGTTACAGTGTCCATTCTGATTGACAGCAGCATCTAATCTATTCTGATTGGTCACAGTAGCCATTCTGATTGGTCACAGTAGCCATTCTGATTTATCAGAACATCCATCCTAACTGGTTTGTACCCATGCAGCTTCAGTTGTTAAATATTTTGAATACCACCCCTTCTCTCAGTAGAGACTCTCCCAAGGCAGCATCTTTCCTTAAGGCACAGGTCCAGTTTGAGATCTAGATAGAGGCTTGTTATGTAAACGGTGCAGCTCAGAGCCGCAGAGCTGAGGGCATAACCTCACATAACCTCACACCACCTGAAGCCTCGTTGAGAGCAGAAACTTATAGGAGCTCTAACTGGGCTTTGAACGCAGTAGTTGGGGCTCCTTTCTGTCCGGTATGCTTGTTGGCTGAAGATGGTGGCTGTGTGGACCTGGAGAAGCTTACAATAATCCTTCATGCGTTTATTCATTTTGCAAACGTAATTGAGAGTATACTCTTTGCCAGGTGCGGGAAAGGCAGCAGTAAACCTGAAAGTCAGGATTCCTGCTCTCGGGGACTTACATTATCCACTTCATCATCGTCTTCTTTGTCATCATCACCACCAAACCAGAAACACACTGGTTTAATATCTACTGGGAAGAATCCTAATCTGTTGGTTTATATCATATTTTATTTTTTTAATTTATTTTTATTGTTGAGACTATTACAGATGTCCCTCATTTCCCCCCCTTTGCCCCCTCTACCTGGCTCCCCCCACCCCAGGCCTTTACTGTACTATTGTCTGTACTCATGGGCTATGCATATAGGCATATAAGTTCTTTGGGGAACTAGGGGAACAATGGGGGAGAAAGGGGGTACATCTGTAATACTCTCAACAATAAAGATAATAAAAAATATGAGATAAAACAAGAGTCAACCACAATATTTAGCATTCAGTTAGGACAGCCAGCCCCCACCTGGAAGGGAGCACCGTCGGGGTGTCAACAGGCTGAGTTCTGCTGGGCGGGGCTTCAGGCAGTCAGCTGGGGGAGAAGAAGGAAATGGCTTCACCTGCTCCTGCTCGAAACAAAACTGGAGGCTAATTCTCGAGCATAAACATCAGTCATGGCTTTAAGGCATGTTTCCTTTATAGCCCTCCTCCCCACAAAAATATCTGTCAACAAAACGTTCTAATATTGTTATTACAAACCCAATACTCAGAAATAATCACTGTTAATATTCAGGGGCAGGGTATATTCTCACTTCTAGTTATAGCCATGTCTGTTTTCACAGAGCTTGAGTCTGCATTATCTCATCAACTACATGGTTGTTACCAAGATTCTTAAATGTTTCTTACCCCACCTCAAAACAGGGGTGACTTACACTGTGCTGTCAGAGAACACAGCCCTGGCTGAGTCCAGCACACAGCAGGGCCTGCCCCCCTAGAGTCTGACCCTGGACAGAGCAGCCCAGCAATGGATGGGCCCAGGGATGCACCACCTGGAGATTCCAGCCACCAGCAACACCACCACCTCTGCACCCTCCACAAACATCACAGTCCACTTCATGGAGTCTCTATCAGGGCTGCAGGCCTCCTGGGCTTCTGACCACTTGGAGCTTGGACAGGACCTACTGGTCAATGTCTCAGTGGCTCATGACATCCCAGGAGAGCTGACCTTTGAGGTAGCAGGACTCATTGCATCCTTCTCCCATGAAAAAGAGAGCGTTGGGCAACCATCTGAGATTTACCATGTAGCAGTTCCTCTTGAAGGTACTTGGGGTTGGTGGCTCCCTTCCAAACTCCCCTCCTCTCCCTTCCTAACTTAGAGTCCCGGGTCCTGCCAGCCAGTTTCCAGTGCATCCTCGACACAAACATGGTTAAGAGCATCCAACCTGAGTCACAAAATAAGGCTGAGACAGATACTATCTGCCCTCACGGAGCTTACTGTCATTTGGTACTTCTGACATTTGGGACTGGACCATCCTTTGTTGTGGGGGCTGTCCTGTGCATTATAGGATGTTTAGCAGTATCTCTGGCTTCTATCCTTTAGATATCAGTAGCAACAGCCTCCTAGCTCTTCGCAACCAAAAATGTCTCCAGACAATGCCAACTGTCTCCTGGGAAACAAAAATCACCCTCATTGAGAACCAGTGGAGGACAGCAGGAGTATTCCAATTTCTTCCATTATTTCTAGAGAAGAGTGTGTTTGGGAAACTGCAGTCCATGCCCCTGGGGGAGAGAGGTAAAAACTGAAGAGTGGGAAGAGGGGAGGGACGAGAGAGGAAGTGTCATGATTCTGGCTGGAATAGAGATAGGGCAACTGGCTGGAGGACAGACTGGCTGGCACCAGCCAGGGGACGAGACCACAACATCCATTTGCATTTAATATAAAAAGAACAGAGTCCTTGAGGGCCGCGTGGTGAAGTCACCAGGTCCAGAGTCTCCAGCTCATCCAGGCCCCTGCCCACAGTATTCCCTGCCCTGCGTCTCAGAGGTGTGCAAAAAAGAGAGTACCACTATGCAGGCATAAGGCTGGCATGCCGTGCGCAAGGGATTTGGCAAAAGAGATGGCTGAGAGGACAATAGATTCAAGAAGAAAAACACTGGAACTTTGCCAGAAACCAAAAGTCTGGTTTGGAACAGGAAGAAGTCAGAATGGAATGAAATGACGATGGGAATTATACATAATATATAGGCTGTAATTCAAATGCAAATTAATTGTCATCTCCTATAAAAGTTACTCAGTAGGGGCTAATTGCTAACAATTTCAGCATGCCCCGTGACTTTATGGCTTACTCTTAGGTGGTAAGTAGTCTTCTCCCCACAAGAAAAACAGATTTGGAGGACTCCAGTGATGAAGGGGATGAGGAGGACGGCCAGGGACCCAGGTGGGACAGGAAGGCTCTCACTTGCTGGGGCTGGCCCAGGCCTGGCTGGCCTTGTGCTCAGGGCCCAGCACATATTTGCCATCGCCTCTGCAGGAGCTTCTCTAGGCTCTCAAGCCCCCAGCCTGGGTCCCTCTGCTCCAGGGCTGGGATGATGACTCTCCTTCAGCTGGCCACATCCTCCCAGCGCTTCTTCTGGACTACGGACAGGGTCATGTTCTCTCTGTTCTCCTTCTTCTCACTACCCTCTTCAGCACCCTCTCTCCCCAAGGGAAACATTTGGCCCATAGAAAATTCTTACCTATTCCTTGGCCTGCTACCAGCAGACTGTGTTGCTCCCCAAATGCAGAAATGCAGTTCTTAACTCCCTCCCTCTCTCCCTCTTGCTCCACCCCTGCATTATAGACAACCCCTGCAAGGGCATGAGTAAGGAACTTGTCCACGGGGGCTCCCGACCTCAAAGAACATACTCAGCTTCCCAAGGGTCCCCTCCAATAACCTTCTCTCTGGGCCTGAGAAGAGAAGAGGGTAGCACCTACCACCCTTCCCCATGAGGGCGGAGGGGTAGGATATACATGTATTAGTGCTCTCTCCAAGTAAATCTTTAAAATCCTTCTCTCCCTCTCCACTCCTTCTAAAATCCTGTCATGTCTTTCCCTCTGCTGGAATCTCCTCTCTGATCTAACTAATTTAAAAAAATGTTTGTTTTCCTTTATTGATTTGGGAGAGAGAGGAAGGAAGAGGGAGATAGAAACGTCAATGAGAGAGAACATCTATTGGCTGCCTCCTGCACGCCCCCCACTGGGGACCTGGCCCACAACCTGGGCATGTGCCCTGACCAGGAATCGAACGGGTGACCTCTTCGTGCATGAATCGATGCTCAACCACTGAGCCACACCGGCCGGACTCTCTAACTAATAAGCACTATTCCTCCTTTGAACTATTGCTCTAGCAATCACCTTATCCCATAAACCATTTTACCCCCTGAGGTTAAAGTGATCACCCACCCCGTGCCCACAATGCCCCCAAGCCGGTTCCTACCGTGGTTTGGCACTCTCCTGCTTGTCTTTTAAACCACAGGCCCTGAGGCAGGAACCATGTTTCGTTCATTTCTGTGTCCTCAGAGCCTTTGCACCTTGCCTGACACACCCTGGGCTTCACTGAATGCTCAGAGGATGGAAGGTCCAGGTGCTACCGTCGGGGGACTGGAGAAGCACAAGCTGGGAGAGTTGTCTCAGCGTGAGTTCATCACTTTATTACAACACTCATCACTTTTCACCTTTTGCATTTCAGGCACCTTCCTGGTCACCGTGCTGGTGAGGGACACCTTCTCAAACTTGAGTTTGGAAATCGGAAGCATCACTGTTGTAGGCAAGAGCTTTCCGTATAGAACTTGTGACCAGGAGTCTAGGGTATTGTACTTGCTTGGCATCCAGTGAAGAATTCTGCAAAGCAGGACCCTCAGTACTTATCTTGCTCTACAGACACTGAGAATTCTCTGGTTATCTAAAGAGGCAACGATGCATGCAGTAAAACATTAACCATCAATACAGAATTCTAAACCATCTGAGTTTGTATTAGTTCTGATGCTTTAGGCTGCAAGTAGCAGAAAACCCAACCTATGTGGCTTCAGTTCTTATCTCACATACTAAAAAGTTAGGAGACAAGTAATTGCAGGGTTGATTCAATGGCTCAGTGTCAGCAACAAGGACCCAGGATCAGTTGACTGCTCTGCTCTGCCATCCTCAGAGATGTTGCTTCATCCTTAGGTTTGCTTCTCATGCAACCATGATGGCTGCTACAGTTCCAGACATCACATGTCAACCCAGCATTGTCCAGCAACAGAAGCCCATTTCCTCCTGTGCACTACTTTTTATTAGCGAAAAAATCTTTCCCGCTAGTCCCCGGCAACCTTCTCCTTAGATACCATTGGCCAGGGTGGGGTCATGTGCCCCAGCTGTAGGGAATGCTGGGAAGTGGGTATTTAGCATTTTCAGCTCTGTGGGAGAAGGTGGAGTCCGGCGGCCAAGAGGCAGGGATGGGTAATGTCTGTGGGGTAGGCAGCCAACAGTAGCTGTCATAGAGATTAAAGATCACCTTGAATGTGTTTGCCAGGACTCTTTGAGTAGCAAGGGACAGAAAAGCAGTTCTAATTAGCTCAAGTCAAAAGGAAATTTCTATCAACTCAGAAAGTGAGAAGTCCAGGGTTTGGGTGCAGTTGGATCCAGCCACTCACTGTCTCCAGAAATCTGCCTCCATCTCTTGGTTCTATGTCACTTTGTTCTGGTTCCCTCTTCCCAAGAAGTAGCAAATGGCCCCAGGCTTCAGCCCTTAGCCCCAGAGGAGAAAGAGCGCCTCTTGGCTGATATTTCCAACAGAAGTCCCGAGGCTGCCTCTCACTAGTCCAAACTCGATGCAGGTTCCCTTGTGGACCCGCTGATGAGATCAGGAGGAAGTTGTACTCCGTTTGGGCAGACAAGGATCACATGTCCAGTCTGGGACATGATGTAAGGCTGGCTTCAGCCATACCAAGGAGAGCAGGGGAGAGATAGTTCTCCAGAGAAAATATCACCCGTAGATGCTATTACAAAGGGGGTATGGATGCCTGGACAGGGGGAAAGCCATCAGCTATCCATTCTATTGTCCACAACCCTCCTTTTTCACATATGGAACTTGAGTCCCCGAGAGGTTAACTGACTTTGCAAAAGTTGATTCATGGCAAGATCAGAGGTAGCAACCGTTTTTTATTTCTTCATTCAGTGTTATTGGACCATCTTCCCAGCTCAGGTTAACAAAGTCTTCAGTGCCTGGCATCTTAATTTGCTTTGTATAATTTTACAGACCTTTGAAGCTATAGTTGTATGAAAGAGATTTCATTGGGAAAGAATTTTCCAAAGATCAGTAGTACCCAGATCTTAAAATATCCAAGTCACTGGAGCCTAGCGAATCTCATGGAATGACCCCAAGTTCCTATTTTAATGGCTGCACTTTAATTAGACTTTAATCATATTCACATTTCAGTATCTTCAGAGCATATCAATTGAGTGTACCTTTTCCATTTTTTAAACTTAACACACTAACATTGTTTGCAGATACATAGATTACAAAGCAATGTATATATAGCACAGCCTTCAGTCCTTCTGGAGTCTTGAGAAATAGGAATTGCTTTCAGCCTTTTTAATAGATGAGGAAGCTAAGACTCAGAAAGAATAATTAACCTTCCCAGGTTCACCCAACCAGTAAGAGGCCAATAAAAGAACCTGGAAACACACCACGAGGTGCTGAGGCTGACTCCTACCAGCTTGCCAGAGCTGGTTACACCCATCTCTTCTCGCTCCACATTCAGCGAGGTCAGCTTGGTAGCTTTTGTAGGCATCCAGATGTGGGCAAAAGTAGATTTACCGTTTTTTTTGTATGGAAAAAGACATGCAGGTTATGATTGCTATGATTTTTACAAGAGCTTTATTGAATATGTTTCACATACTCACAACTGTAAACCTACTTTTGCCCACCCCCGTACACCATGGAAATGAGCAAGTGCTCCAAATTAGGGCTCCCACTCCAACTTTCTCAACTGGTGGCTAAACATGAACAGCATACAGCTGCCTGTTGGGCTCTAAATCTTGTGTTTTCTCTGCATTGGCAGCTGCATGCCTCCTCCTTTGCTGCCAAAGAGGTGTCTTTAGCCCAGCAAGAACATCATGGTTTGCTTTTGACCATTTCCCTATGACCTGAAGGATTGCTATGTTCCCCTAAATCATCTCCGAAGATAGGCAGGCTCCCTGGGGCTCGTCAGCATACCTTCCGACTCTGTCCTTTGGCAGCTTGACAAACACCACCAAAACTTGACATTCATTCCCCTGTGTTCACAGCTCCTTCCAGTCTCCAAGAACCGTCTGGAACATTGAGGAAAAGAGTGTGAGTATTTAAAACAAACAAACCACTTAACAGCACGAGAAAAAGAGCCCAAGCATTCTGTTTTGTTTTTTGATTTTGGTTTTTCAGTGCACTAGGAACCACCAACATTTCTTCTGCTTGAAGAGAGATCCAGAAGGATTGAAATGAAACAAATCGTGTTCTCTATTCATGTTATGAATCCATAGTAAGATATCTAGAATATGTACATATGTTTTAGCCATCTTGGAAATTAAACAGCACACGCCTAAAAAACATCAACGAGTAAAAGGAAAAAATTACAAGGGAAATTTAAAAATATTTCTAAGTGATAATGACAATAAAACTTATCCAAATTTGTGGGATGCAGCCAAGGCAGTGCTCAGAGGGAAGTTTATTTCTTCTAATTCTTATATTAGAAAACAGGCCCAGGTTTGTTAGTTTTTATAGCAAGACTCCATCTTCGACTCCTTGCTGTTGACATTACTCATGCATGAATCTATTCAATAACAAAAACTTATTGTGCATCTACAATGTTAAAGGCTTGGTATTAGGTGCTGGGGATACAATGGTGAATAAAAAGACATGGTCCCTGTCTTCACGGTCCATTAATTCACTTCATTAATAAGTGAAATTAACAAACATGTTAGCATATAATTAGAAATTCTGATGTGTCTAACTAGAACCAATAAGGTACAATGACAGCAACTAATAGGATGACCTAGCAATTGTGATCAAACAAGGACCCTTAAGAGGTGACATTTAAGGGGGGACCTGAAGATAAGACAGTCAGCCATGCTGGAAAGCAGAACAAGAGCTTTCTGGGTGCACGGATTAGAAGGCTCTGAGGCCTGTGTGGAGAAGGGGGAGGATGTAGGAGGTAACAGAGAGATGGACAGAGGTCAGTTTACATGGGGTCTAAGGTGCCAGGGGAAGAGGGTTTGGGTTTATGATCAGGCCATGGGAGACCACTGGGGGTTGAATTCTGCTGTAGCCTCAGGTTATTCCAGGCCAAGCCCTCTGGACACGAGCTGTCTAACAGGTCCTACCAGAACTGACTCCAGGAACACACCGTATGCGGGCTGATTCCTCTTCCTAGAGTCTACACGCTCTCCCTTGTTGCCCAGCTCGCCTTCACTCCTCCTTCACAATAGCTCTGGGGTCCAGTCCTCTGGGGAGTTTGCCTTGAATCCCAGCTGTCTGCTCTGTGGAGGTAACAGCTCGGCGCCCTCCTCTCACCAGACACAAGAGGATGCACCTCACTAGCTTCTTGAATTTGATCCCCAGCAATCCCAGGAGTCAGATGCTATCAAGCCCTTGGAGGAACGGAAACTCTGAGAGGCTTAGATACTGGCCAGAGGTCCCAGGGCCAATGATCCAGTCTGAGATCGGGTTGGCCCCAAGGCCTACATTCTTAACCTACTGCCCCCTTCTCCTACATTCTCACCATCTCCTGAGCCCCCTCTCCTGTAGCAGTTAGCACTCTGTGTTTTAATCGTTGATTTCTTCATCTGTCTTCCCTACTAAATGGAAGGGAAGAGGCCAGATCTATATTCTTGTTTGTCTAGGCATCAAGCGCAGGCTCTGATAATGCACTTAACACATGGTGGACACTTAGCATTGAGTCTACATTCCAACTAAAGTTACTTACCCACGGATCCATCCCGAGGGGAGCCAGGCAAATCAGAAGGGTCAGTCTGCAGTCCACACCTTGGCACAGATTACTCTGAGGTGGAGAGTGGGGTGCCAGCTGCAGAGAGGTGTCTTACGAACTAGCTGCTTTTTCTGCAGAGAGATAAAGGTGATGCGGAGAGACACGTGGAACCTGGTCAGTACGTGGATCCTTTCATGACAGTGACTCTGGGCTGGCCGGATAGGGACAAGGACTTCCGCTTCCAGTGGTCATGTGGTAGGTGGCCTTTGAGCTCTGGAGCTGTCCTGTCTCGCCCCAAAGTGATGGATGGCAGTTAGCTTTGCTGTTCTTTTTCTTAACGTTCGCACCAGTGTACTCATGCCTGACATTTTGTGTACCTTGTACATGCCAGAGATTACAAGTTCCAATGGAAATGGGAGGTAACGGGGCAAACCAAGGTGGGGGTGCCCCTGAAGGCAGCAACAAGGAAATGCATCATCTGTAGAGAATTTGAAAACTATAACAACCCTTGCCCTGGCCGGTTTTGCTCAGCGGTTAGAGCGTCGGCCTGCGGTCCGGAGAGACCCGGGTTCGGTTCCCGCTAAGGGCACGTACTTCGGTTGCAGTTTGTCCCCGGCCCTGGTTGGTCATGCGGGTGGCAGCCACTCGATGTGTCCCTTCACGTCAATGTTTCTCTCTCTCTCTCCCTTCCTCTCTCTCCCTCCCACTCTATCTGTACAAAAAATGGAAAAGTGTCCTCGGGTGAGGATAAAAAAAAAAAAAAAGAAAACTATAACAACCCTGAAAGTCAGTCTGCTTTTGTATTCTCACTACAAACAACGTCAGTGATAAAAATACTCCTCCCCTCTTAGGTGGATCCTCCCTTTCACCTCCACACCCTTGTTATGCCACCGGAAAGAGCCTAGAGGGAGAGAGTGATGAGGCATTTTCTGACCAACCAAAATTGTAGCATCAGTGCTTATTTTTAAGAAATGGTTGTCCTGGCCCTGGCTGGGTAGCTCCAACGGTTAAAGCACCATCCAGATTCCCAAAGGTTGCATGTTCGATCTTGGTCAGGGCACATACAAAAATCAACCAATGAATGCATAAATAAGTGGAACGACAGATCAGTGTTTCTCTCTCCTGCCCCCCCCCCAAAAAATAAATAAAAATTTTTAAATGTTAGCAAGAAAAAAAGAAAAAAATGGTTGTTCTCCTTTTCATAATATGTTCTAGCTAGATACACATTCTTTTAGAAAGAAATGAATGTCATTCATACTGTACATGCTGCTTTCGCTACCTTTTTTTTTCATTGAATAATATATCCTGCTTTTTTTTTTTTTAAATCTTCACCCAAGGATATTTTTCCATTTATTTTCAGATAGAGTGGGAGGGAGGGGTAGAGAGAGAGAGAAAGAGAGAGAGAGAGAAACACCGATGTGAGAGAGAGACATCAATTTGGTTGCTTCCCGCACGACCCCGACCAGGGCTGGGGACTGAACCCCAACTGAGGTACATGCCCTTGACTGGAATTGAACCCGAGACTCTCTGGTCTGCAGGCCCACACTTCAACCTCTGAGCCAAACCAGCCAGGGCTACCTGCATATTTTAATGTCTCTATCTTGATATTTATTTATTTAATCCTCACCCGAGGACATTTTTCCTTTTTTTTTTTTTGTTCAGATAGAGCGGGAGGGAGAGAGAGAGAGAGAGAGAGAAACATCGACGTGAAGGGACACATCGAGTGGCTGCCACCCGTACGACCAACCAGGGCCGGGGACAAACTGCAACCGAGGTACATGCCCTTAGCAGGAACCGAACCCGGGTCTCTCTGTACCGCAGGCCGATGCTCCAACCGCTGAGCCAAACCGGCCAGGGCATTTTTCCATTTTTTGTTCAGATAGAGTGGGAGGCAGAGAGGGAGAGAGAGAAACATCGACATGAAAGGGACACATTGAGTGGCTGCCACCCACACGACCCAACCAGGGCTAGGAACAAACTGCAACCGAGGTACGTGCCCTTAGCAGGAACCGAACCCGACTCTCTCTGGTCCACCGGCCGACACTCTAACCACTGAATCAAACCGGCCAGGGTTCTATCTTGATATTTATAATAACTACATAATAGACTGTCAAGTTGATGCTTGATCACTCATTTACCATCGCCCTCTTTTGGGACATTTGGATCATTTTCAAATGATTTATAAACACTGTAATAACATCTTTATAGTTCAATCTTCATAAAGACATCTGTAGAAATGGAATAATTGCATCAAAGTCATATAAAATGTGAAGCCTTTTAATATCATTGCTAAGTGGTCGGAATGTCCTTCTGAATATTGGTTCTTGTTATCTGAATTAATCAAGGATACCAACAGAGTTTAGGTGACTGAGCTGATGACCTGACCCCTGGTCGTGTCCTGGGAATGACTCTCATGCTGGGGGCAGTGGATAAACATCAATCAACAGAAGTGAAGGGCAAAGGATACAGAGACTTACTGAGCTGGTTTTATAAAGCAGGAGATGACACTGCACCTCCCAGACGGAGGGACAGCTGTCCGGGTCCCCAGTGTGCTCCACAGGCACATGCAGCTGTGGACAATCATTTCCACGTGGAGTGAGAATTACACCAGTGACAAGAAGCTGCCCTGGACACTCTCCCAGGCAGGACTCCTCTCCTGTTCTCTGGCGGCCTGCTCACTAGTGCAAGTCACTGGTGCAGGACAAGCGACAGACAGATCCTGGTTTGCTCAGAGTCTGGGTGAAGCGTGGGCCATTTTCCCAGGAGTGTCTTTCATCAGTACCATTCCTGCACCTGCAAGTGAAATTAAAAAAAAATTTTTTTTATCAAAATCTCTATTTGAAGTCAATTTTCTTATCTCTGACCCTTTTCTTCTAAAAGCCCCAAACCAGAAGGTAGCCAGTGTGTCAAGTTCCCTGGATGGATAGTGTGTGCCGATCTCTGTCTCAGGCCGTTGCTGGACTCAGTGGAGTGACTGTTGAGAGGCGGCTGCTCTGCACAGACCGGAGGGAGCTGGTGGTTCCGCCGCCCTGCCTGCCGCCACCCGATTCTGCAGTCACGCTGCGCCTGGCCATCTGGAGAGGCCAGGAGCTGGAGAGGCAGGAGGCGCAGTGCATCTGTGTGTCCGCCACCCTGGAACTCAGGCCTCGAGTCAGGTGAGGCTGAGACAACAAACTCCGGCAGTGTTGCCAGGTATCCGTAACTCGGGCAGCATTTACTGAGAACCAACCCTGTCTGGCGTGGACTTAGAGCAGGGCTTACAGAGCTGGCCAAAACCAGACCTGGTCTTAGTTCTTCTTTTTTTTTTTAATCCTTACCCAAGGACATTTTTCCATATTTTGTTCAGATAGAGTAGGAGGGGGAGAGAGAGAGAAATATCGACGTGAAAGGGACACATCGAGTGGCTGCCACCCACATAACCCAACCAGGGCCGGGGACAAACTGCAACCGAGGTACGCGCCCTTAGCAGGAACCGAACCCGGGTCTCTCTGGACCACAGGCCGACGCTCTACTCCCTGAGCCAAACCGGCCAGGGCTGGTCTCAGTTCTTACAGGGTTACCACCTGGTGGTAGGCAATGATGCCAGGCTTGCCTCAGCAGAGCTGTGAAGTATGAAGAGGAAGTAAGTTGGCCAGGGGAAAAGGGACTGGAAAGGGAACAGAGTGGCCGAGGAGGGAGAACCAGGAAGTGAAAGAGGCTGGTGTGGCTGGAGCATGGAGGAGACGAGAGAGACAAGAAGAAACGGAAGAGTGGGCGACATTCAGGAAAGCCATCCAAGAGGTTTAAGCAGGCTGGGGACACGGTCACGTTTTGCTTCAAAATGCCCTGGTAGCAGGGTGGAGTTGTTGCAAGAGGGGACTTGCATACGCTCCTGGGGGAATGAAGAGTTAGGTTCATCAGTCAGATCCCCGCAGGAGGTAAATGGCTCACTCAGACTAGGAACTGATGAGAGTTGAATAAAGGGCCTATTTGCAGATGTGGGCAGAGAAGAGGGAACCACCCAGGGATGACAATGCAGAACGACAACCAAGGAAAGCCATTATCCCTCCTAGGGATGCAGAGGTAAGGGGGTGGGGGAGAGTGTTACTAGAAACCTCAAGGGTCTGTAGCTTGGGAAGGTGCTCCCCAGCAGGACCCGTGCTCTTGGTTGGAGGAACACAGCCTCTGCCAACTGCATCCCATCAGTTAAGGAGTCGAGGAAGTTGTAAACAAATACCTCCACCTCTCTCCTCTCACCCCCAAACCCCAGCCAGTGCTTTCCATTGGCTAGAACAACCAGAAGCCAGAGGGTACAGGGGATTGGGTGATGCATCTATAGGTATCAGTCTCTAGAGCACAGAGCCACAGAGTTGATGGAGAGTGAGCTGCAGGGTAAATGGAGAATGTCTGGCACACTTGCCGCAGGATAGACGTGAAGACAGGAGTGGGGAGATTCAAGAGCTGTTATCAAGTTACAATTGAAAGGGGCTGGGAATGGGTCGAACACACAGCAAGGGCCAAAGTGATCTCCCATGGACTCAAGGGTGGGGTATTATAGAGAAGGCCCAGGATTCAGATCGAGACATGTTGGTTCACGATCCACCCCCCTACTTAGGACAGCGTCACTGAAAGAAATCATATAAGCTCCCTGAGCCTGGTTTGCCAGTCTGTGACATGGGGATTCTAATATGTCACTCATAGGGTTGTCGTACACATTGGATGAGCTAGTAACAATGGAAGTCATGTACAAACTATGGCATGCATGCTATAAAATCACAGCATTCATTTAGTAGTATTAGAAGTAGGAAGAAGCATAGAAATCGCCTGCTCTAATACCTTCACAGAGAAACCAAGGCTCAGAGAGTTTAAGTGACTCATGCAAGGTGACCATTCGAAAGTGGCAGGGACAGAATCTGAGCTCAGCGTCCTGTCTCAGCCGTGTGCATTTTCCATATCATTACCGTGTGCATGAAATGGGAATTCACTCAGGCCCGTATCACCATCTTCAGGGCCAACGCTGCTTCCCAGTTCTGGTTGGGGTGGGGGTTGCTTTTATTCCTCCTTTCACTTGAAAAGAAAGGCCCTTTCTCAGCTTCTCGAAGGACTTGAGAAGAACTGGACAGAAGGCCCGGCAGGCAGGTGGCCACGAGCCCGAGCGGGCCTCCTCGCTCTGTTCTCTGCCTGCCTTTCAGCTGGGAGAACTGCGGACCAGTGAATGCCAGCGAGGTCGTTATGCTCGGGGTCACCATGGGGACGACTCCCCAGCAGCCATGTTCAGCTGGTATTTAGACGACACCCCACTGGAGAAGGTGAGGACACTGGAAACCACTCAGACAGAAAAGTCTCCCTACTGTGACTGCTCACATGCCCAGGACTGAGCTGGGGGTGGGCTGACCCCGCTCAGGGAGTCCGGGGGTAGGGCACGTTCCCCAGCGGAAAACCTGGGCATGGCTCAGAGAAAGAATGGACAACTGGGAGCAAAGACAGCGGGAAACACAACAGCAGATGCCGCTGGTGCCCTAGCCCAGTCCACGGCGGAATGGCTGATGGCCAATAACTACGAAGTCTAACAGCCCAGCCCCTCGGCCTCCGAGTGAGATGTCTTCTGTGGTGCAGCTTGTGTGCTCCAGAGCTTCCTGTGGGATCAGGCTGAGGCTGGACGCCCCCTGAGGCCATTTCTTTGCTTGGCGTCATTCCCCACCCTAGTCTGCCTCCCTCCCTCCCCTACTGGCTTCCCCTTAGAGCCCGCCCTCAACAGATGAGCTGCCCACAAACCTTCACCAGGTTCTGCTTCTAGGGAACCTGACTTAGGACAATCTCCTAACCCGGCTGGAGATTGATATCTGGGCTGACCTCAGGGAAGCAAGCAGTCCCTGCCACTCATCCATCAGAGACAAATCTGAAAGGCCTCCCAGGGTCAGAAACCAGTGCCCTGCTGAGGTCCAGCAGCCTGACTGTAGCCTCAGGGGCTCTGAGCCCCTCCTGGCAGCCTGTAGACTCCGGGGATTTTGGCCAAATTCTTTAATCCTCCCCCAGAGTTTCCTCCCCCCACACACTGCTGCCGAACAGCTCCCTACTGCAGACCTGAGGCCAAGCCAAAAATGAGCCAAACAAACCCCAAAGCCCTGAAGTATGGGACATCCGCATCGGGTGGGGGCCATACACAGACTCTGGTGTGAATCCCACCACCACCACCACCACCACCATTTTCTAGCTAGGAGACTTGAAGCAAAGGATTTAACCTCTCTGTGCCTCAATTTCCATGGGCATACTAAAACACCTGCCTCCAATTGTATTATGCAGGGTGGATGAGACGACACCAGTGGTATAAGTAGCCCACTCTGGGGTCGTGCAGCCTGAGTGCCCTGCCTGGATGACTCGGCGCTTTCTACTGAAAACAAGCCCAGAGCTCGGGAAATGTAAACTGAATGACGGGGAGATAAATAATGAGGGTGAGAATTCTTTCTGGACTGATTCCTTTGACTCAATATTTCTCAAAGTGGCCCGTAGTCCACCCACACTGGGATAGACTGGGCTACCAATTTAAAATGCACACTCCTGGGTTTGCCCCAAACCTTCTGACTTATGTCTAGGCCAAGAAATGGATTTTGTTTGTTTGTTTGTTTGTTTGTTTGTTTTTAATCCTCACTGGAGGATATTTGTACATTTATTTTCAGACAGAGTGGGAGAGAGAGAGAGAGAGAAACATCGATGTGAGAGAGACACATCGATTGGTTGCCACCTGCATGACTCTAACCAGGGCCGGAGATGAACGGCAACCGAGGTACATGCCCTTGGCCAGAATCGAACCCAGAACTCCCTGGTCTGCAGGCTGATGCCCTAACCGCTGAGCCAAACCAGCCAGGGCCCAAGGAATGGTTTTAATTGATTAAGATTCTCTTTATGCCCAACTCTTCCAGGCACATACTCTTTTTGAAAAACCAGGTGATTATACCAGGTGATGTGGGATATCAGTGCAGGTCAGCTGAGGGGACTACTCTCCGTGCTGTGGGCGTCTGGGAAGAGCACGGCTTCAGATGGGAGCAGCCCGTCTCCAGATCCTGGCTGTGGTCCTACCGAGCTCAGTGAGATTGAGCAAGTCATTGTTCCCGGTGTACTCCCTCCTCACCAAAGCTCTGCGAGGGAGCTATTCTTACCAGCCCCATTTTACAGGTGAGGAGCTCACTCTCAAAAAGCTTAAGCCCAAGGTCATGGCTAGTAAGGGGAAGAACTGGGGTTCAAGCTCAGGCTTGTCTGAATCTATTCCTCTATCTTGCCCAGTTTCTCAAAGTGAAATCCTGGGGTTCCCTGCATCAGGGTAGTTGTTAGATTTGCAGACTTCTGGGCCCACTCTAGAACCTCCAGAGAGGTCTGAGGCTCAGGGTCCAGAGAGGGGCCTGGGAATCTACATGTTTAAGTTCCCCGGGTGACCCTGAAGCATAATGGAGTTTGTATGGCACACACATCCCCTAAGCACCCTCTGTCTTCACTCCCCAGCAATGACCAGGCTTGCCTGTGGGGAGGACACCTATGCTATCAGCTCTCTGCCTCCTCCTGAGGTGCCCACCTGCACCACTGCCCCGGAGGAGGGCACTGTTCTCACCAGCTTCGCCAGCTTCTGCCATGCCTCCGCCGCTCTGGGCCCCCTGAATACTGCTTCTGTCTGGAATCAGGTCCTGACCAAGGCTAGGTCTCCCCTCAGCTTCTGAGCGCCTCCTTTCCCAGAACAGAGCCTGTCTTCCTCTGCAAGCTGCAAAGAACATGTTTCATGTGTCAGAGAGGTTTGCAAGATGAAGACTCCCCTAAATCTTAACCCCTCACCCCCCAGCACACTGACCCAGCCACACACCCCAGACAGAGGAGAGCAGGTCCCATCAGTATCTCCCCCATAACAATGGAGACCAAAATGACCTCTGTCCTGGCAGGAGGGATGTGGAGAAAGTTCAATGGATGAGTATACACAGAAGCAAGACAATGTGGGGCCACTACTAGGACTCCACCCCGCCCCCCATCACTCAGAGTAGCCATAACCCCTCGGAAGTCTGGGGCTATTCAGGACAGAGATGGGCCTGGTTCACAGAATCGTCGATTTTATTGACCCACAGCAGGGAATGGGCAATGTCACAGATCACACTGAACTGAAAGGAAGCATTTTGCAAAGGCTTACAGGGGGTGAAGCATGCAGACGCCATCCCCACTGCACAATACCCTGCACAGTGTCCTGTCACCACAGCCCACCCTGGGACAGCAGGAAGACATCAGTAGGAGAGACGGGGTGAGCAGCCTACACTGCGCCTGCTCTCCCAGTTTGGGGGATGGTTGATCCTTGGAGGGCTCACCTGCATCCTTGTCTCTTCCCAATGGGTTTTGGCATTTTGTAACCCTCATATGAGCTCTGGAAATGTTCTAGTTAGATCGACACTTTCCTCCGAACCTCGGCACTGGGAGTGTTGCTGGGGAACTCTCCAATATTCAGCACTGAACACTATGAATATAGGTTGAATGCCCTGGCTAGGGAAAGCTATTGAGACCCAAGTGAGTGTGGTTTTCATGGGTGTCCCATCAAATAGATGTGGAATGCAGGGCCGTGGAGAGGGTTGTGACTGGGTCTCAGCCTGGAGGAAAACAATTCAAGGAAGGAAATAGATTTGATTCCTAACCTGTGCCCCCCTAGATGGAGAGGCCAGGCTAGCTGTTGCCATTCTGACTGGTTATTCCTCTGTAGTACCTCCCGCTGCCTCACACCGGTGAGCAAGGGGGCAGGGAAGTATGCCCAGATAAAAATGAGTTAACTAATTATTGGGTAGTGAAGTATGTGTCCAGATGCTGACCACCCATGTCTCCCACGTTAGCGCACACCTGCCTGACGCCAGCTCCAGCTCCAGCTCCAGCCTTTCTTTCTTTTCTGATACCCACCCCCACTCGTACCCCGCCTACTCTGCCTGCCCCCATGGAGGCTTGGATATGTCAGGGGATTGGTGCAGCGGTTAATGATGAATCCTCTGGGGTACAGATACCCCAGCTCCCCCCCTCTCTTGGTGGATAACACCCATCCATCCATCCATCCATCCATCCATCCATCCATCCATCCAACCATCCATCCACCATCCATCCATCCATCCATCCATCCATCCATCCATCCATCCATCCATGCATCCATCCAACCATCCGTTCATCTGTCCAGCCAGTGAATGTTTACTGAATGCCAACTATGTTCTGGGCATTGTGCAAGGCACTCTGGGAAGGGTTCCGAGATGGACTAGGCTACTCTACTAAAGGAACTTCGCACCTTGTAAGGAGGGAATACCTGGCCTCAAGTTGGCGATGTAGGTAGCTGGCGCGATGGGCCTGGTCCAGACTTTCCCTAGTTTGTGTCCTCACCTTGCTCCCCTCCATTCTAGCCCTCATCCCCTGAATGGTGTGGGAGACGGTCTACCCCAGGCAGGGGCTCATGCTGTTTTTCCTTCTTCTCTGGGTGAGCCCAGCGGGAGGCCAGCTGGACCCTGCAGTATGCCAGCGAGGCCCTGTTGGCGGTGAGTGCCAAGGCCCATCCTGAGGACCAGAGGCGGCAGGCAGCCACCAGGGACCTGTTTCAGGCTGTGAGCTTGCCTGAGGGGCAGACTAGAAGAGTCTTCGGAGGCCAGTGGCAGCCAGGTAGGCGTCCCAGCCCAGATGCAGACTTCACACCTACACTCCTCGGTGGATCCTTCACCACATCTTGTGGATGAGGAAACAGAGGCACAGAGATTAAAGTCCCTTCTAGGAGCTGAAAGAAAGGTTCCAGAGACCACAGCTCCTGGGAGCAGTGTGGTGCAGCAGGCCGAGGGCAGGCTCTGGAAGGAGGCGGGCTGAGTTCAAGTCCTGCCTCTGACATGTACATGCACTTCCCTCCTGTAAGTGCATGTCAGTTGAGGATGGAAAGGTTCACATAAGTCAGGTGTTAGAAGCTTTGTAAGTGCCCACTCTTCCCTCCCTTAATTAACGGTGTCCCGTCATGGTCTTGCCTCACTCCTTTGCCCTCTTCCTGCTGAAGGTCCCACACGAGCCTGGTGACAGTAAGCAGAGGTTGTACACGGAGACAAGTCACTCTCCTTTCTCTCGCCTCTGTCTTCTCTCTGTTCTCTGTCCTCCCTCTCTCTTCCCTCTCCTCTCTCCTTTCTACACACTCCCGCTTTCTTTTCCCGGTGCCACAGTGTCCCAGCTGCTCAAGCTGTGGAGCATGTACAGGCTGCGCTCCTGCTGGGAAGACTGCCCAAGGGCCTTGCAGCCTCTCTGGCTACCTCCTCCATCACCGTGTACACAAACAGGTAACCAGCTGCACCGCGAGTCCCCAAGAAAGCCCGTCCCCTGACCTGGCTTGTTCCACACCCACACCCCAAGACCCTGAGACAGGCAGAGCCCAGGCGACAGCCTCGGAGGTGGGAGAAGAGACGGGACTGAGCAGTGGGAAGGGCTTCTCACCGAGAGGCGGTCCCTGTGTGGGTTGCCCTCCTAGATCCCAGAGGCAGTTTCCCGTAGCAGCATCCAGACCACACACGGTCATAGGCCGTAAAGACAGGGATGGGAGCCCATGACATCAGAAGTCAAGTAGATAGGGAAAATAAGCCTAGAGAAATGTCCCCATTATAGTTCATTTATTTATTCAACAAAATATGTATTGATGCCCTGGCCAATTTGGCTCAGCGGTTAGAGCGTCGGCCTGCGGTCCAGAGAGACCCGGGTTCGGTTCCTGCTAAGGGCATGTACCTCGGTTGCAGTTTGTCCCCGGCCCTGGTTGGGTTGTGTGGGCGGCAGCCACTCAATGTGTCCCTTTCACGTCGATGTTTCTCTCTCTCTCTCTCCTGCTCTATCTGAACAAAAAATGGAAAAATGTCCTCTAGTGAGGATAAAAAAAATGTACTGACCGCCAGCACATTCCAGACACTGTCCTAGGCACTGGGGTGTAGCAGTAAACAAAGCTGGCTAAAGACCCGTCCTCATGGAGACTCCAAGCCAGTGTAAGGGCATCAGCTGCCTGGTATCCCAGTGTAAGGGTATGCTGTGGCCACTGACACTAACATGTGGAACCACATAAGGGGAGTAACACAAAGCAGCCTATTCTGACGGTAATGCAGCCCCCCCCCCCCTGCCCCCCTAGTGCAAGAGACTACAGGTCTTCCTCTGACACAGACTTTCTCCCCTGTTCTCACCCTGTGGCCAGAATTCAGCCCCGGAGTTGACAAGGCCCCTCTGTGCACACTGCTGCTGCCAACGCTGCAACCTTTACCCTGCCTGCTGCCTCCTCCCTCGGCTGCATGGAGGACAGTCAGGAACCTGGGGACATAAGGTAACAACATCGTAACCTGCTCGGGAACAGCCTTCTACAGTTTGCAAAACACTTGTACAATATTTGCTCAGTCACATTGATTGATTGCAGCCCTGCCGATTACAATGTATGATGCCCATTTTACAGAGGAAGTTCAATGACTTGCTCAAGGCCATAAGCAAAGTGGGGGAGCTGGGAATTCAGATCCGGGCCGTCGGACTCCCCAGTCCAGCGTCTTTCCACTGTGTTCTGGAATTTCTCCAGCAACCCTGGTTCAACTAGTCATTGGAAATGAAGCTCTTCCGACTTCATTCCATAACTAGGAAATGACAAACCCTGGGCTCTTTCCATTCCCAAATGAGTGCATTTCTGACTTTTCGCTCCTTGAGCCCCAGTAAAAGCAAACAAACTTCTTTCTCTTAGACTTGTTAGCTTTGCCAGAGGAGAGGCTCAGACTTATAGTGTCTGGCCTTTCCTTTGCTCCTTTCCTATGATTAATAACTAGCTGATTACAATAGTATCACAAGTATAATGGGCATAAGCAGGTCTGGGCATTAGCAGGCCAGACACACTGCTCATTGCTTAGCATACGACTCGACTGGCAGAGAGGGCTGCTGGGGTTACTGGACAGATGTCGTAGGGTGGGTTCTCTAGGTGCTGGGGTTGAGAATGAATCTGCAGTGCTAGATGTTTGTTAGAGATCAATACTTTCGACCAGTAAAGAAAGAAAACAGGACTGGGCAGAAGTCAGGCTGCACTCCAGACCTCACATGGCCTCCGTCAGCCCAGCATTAGCCATCAGGGTTGTATTCACTGTGCTTGTTACTTTCTATATCTCTATGGTGTTTTGATACCTTAAAAATCTTGCTGGCGGGGAGAGACTGTCCCTCCCAGGGCCAGCCAGTTCTTAGAAATAGCAAAGGTTTCTGCCATGGCATGCCTTTTATGTGCAAACCAACGGATCCTGAGTGTATGCCCCAGCTATCCCCTTTATCTGATGCTCACACAGCAAGTCAGTATTCAACCCTGACCGAAATCAACCCAGGGCCGGGGACCAGGCAATTAGAGAACACCCTATAGCCCGAGCCTGCCAGAATGATTCAAACTGGGCAACCTAAGCTGCTTGCTCTGCCCTGCCTATCCTAGGGCCTGGGTCTCCCACCTCCACGCCTGCTTCTGCCTCCTGACCTGGTGCTTCCCCCGTGGTCCTGCGTAGCATGGTTCTCCTCCTCTCGGGAAATGTAAGCACTACATTCTCTAAAGGGCACTGGCTTCTCCATATCATCACTCAGGCACCTCCATATATTAAAAATCCCATGAGAACAAATGAGACAAGTGTGTCCTGCATCAGGCCAGTATGTCTGGACGTTATACTCCGCTTCTTGCTCAGTTACTGAATGCAGATGGCCCCAGGAGGGGAGGTCCTCAGGTGGGGGGAGTGTCTGCAGCCACGACAGACCCTGAAGGAGCTAGGAGCTGGAGCCTGTCTACTGACCACACTCCCTGGGACTGGGCAGAAGGTCTTCCTGGAAGGGGAAGCTGGGTGGTACATTCCTGCACCTGCTAAAGAGAACCACCAGGAGTAAATGGACAGTGCACCTGGGGCATGAATCGGTCTGTTTGAAAAAGGAACGGAGAGTATCAGTTAATCTGCAGAGCTGATTCAATGGAGAGTGGTTATAAGAACTTCTAATGTGAGAGTAATAGCAGCAGCTAATCATTGAGTATCATTCTGTATCTGATACTTGGCTAAACCTTTTGTATGCAGTATCCTTTTTAATACTCTCAATGCGTCTAGAGTCTATGTATCCTATTGATGACAAGAAACAGGCTCAGAGCGGTTTGCTGGTTGGCTGGAGGTTCCAGAGTTCATATAGGACAGATCTCTCTGCCTCTGTAGCCTGTGCTCCTCCTTACACACACTCGATCAACACGTTCATCGATACCGCCACTGGTTCACAGGGCGCCTTTGTGCCGATTAGAAAAAAATCCCGGCTCTTTCTGTGCCAACATAGCCCTGAGCTGAGGTGCACAGCTTGACCATGGTAAGTTGAATGAAGACCCCCAAGAGGTTCATGTTCTCATCCCTGAGCCTGTGGATGTGTCACCTAACAGAGCGAAAGGGCTTTTGCGGATGTGACTTAAATCGAGGCTCTAGAGATGTAGAGATGATCCTGGATTATCTGGGTGGGCCCAGTGTCATCACAAGGTTGTTACAAGAGGGAGGCAGAGGGGGAGTTGACTCCAGAAGAGGGAAAGCCACTTTGATTACAGAAGCAAGAGGGCGGGGTGATGGAGGAAGAGCTGTGATCCAGGGATGGGGCGGCCTCCAGACGTGGGAAAGGCAGAGAAGTGGGTTCCCCTGGAACCCTCCAGAAGGAACCAGCCCTGCCGGCTTTCGCCGTGAAACTGACTTTGGACTTCTGAAGATAACAGCTTTATGTGGGTTTTCTTGTTGTTTGGGTTTTTTAAAAATCAATTAACTTTTTTTTTTTAATCCTCACCCGAGGACATTTTTCCATTTTTTGTTCAGGTAGAGTGGGAGGGAGAGAGAGGAACAGAGAGAGAGAGAAACATCGATGTGAAAGGAACACATCGAGTGGCTTCCACCCGCACGACTGACCAGTGCCGGGGACAAACTGCAACCGAGGTACACACCCTTAGTGGGAACCGAACCCGGGTCTCTCAGGACCGCAGGCCGACGCTTTAACCGCTGAGCCAAACCAGACAGGGCAAAAAAATCAATTAACTTTTCAATTACAGATTCCCTCCTTTTCCCCCCATGGACAACCTCATCCATGCTCCCAACCCCTTCCCTCCTTCCCCACAGTGTTGTCTGTGTCCACTGGTTGTGCATATATGCATTAAGTTCTTTGGTTTATCTCTTCCCAACCCCCACCCCACACCCTTCCCTCTGAGGTTTATCAGTCTGTTCCCTACTTCCATGTCTCTGGATCTATTTTGTTCATCAGCTTATTTTGTTCATTATATTCCACAAATAAGTGACATCATGTGGAACTTGTCTTTCTCTGACTGGCTTATTTCACTTAGCATAATACTCTGCAGGTCCCTCCATGTCATCTCAAAGGGGAGAGATCTCTCTTCCTTACAGCTACATAGTACTCCATTGTGTAAATGTACCACAGCTTTTTTATCCACTCCTCTACTGATGGGCACTTGGAAATGTGTGTTGTTTTAAACCACCAAGTTTGTGGTCATTTGTTATAGCAGCTCCAGGAAACTAGCAGAAGGAGCAAAGCACAGAGCAGATTTCAGTTCCCCAGGTCCTCACGCTGCCCAGTCTGCCAGCAGCCCTGACGTTCACTGGCTTCCCATCCTGGCACACCCTTGATGTGGTTGTTCTGATGACAGATCCTGCTGCCTCGGCTTTCAGAACACGGCGAGCCAACTGTGTTGAATCTGACCAGACCGGAAGCTCTGTGGGTGAACCTGACTTCAGCAGGGGCAGCTGTGGGGATCCAGTTGCACTGGAGACCCAACATCCCACCCACACTCAGCCTGGGCTATGGCTGCCACCCCGACAAGACCAGCTACGATGCCAAAGCTCACCTTCCACCAACGGCTGCTCCAGGTAGTTGCATCATCAGGCTGGTTTCTCAAGCTGCTTCCTGGGTGGGTGACCAGCTCAAAACTTGAGAATCAGAAGCCATAGGGAAAAAAAGAAAGAAAGAAAGAAAGAAAGAAAGAAAGAAAGAAAGAAAGAAAGAAAGAAAGAAAGAAAGAAAGAAAGAAACACTTGCTACATTAAGTGCTTATTTTTGTTGTTGGTATTATTAATATTTGGCAATATTAAGTGAGCACTTACTATAAGCCCTGAAGAAGCTGACAAGCACTTATAGAACTAACTTCATTGCAGTCCTCACCACGACCCTCAGAGATGGGGACTATTGAAATCACTTTCCAGGTAAGAAGAGAGAGGTTAAGTAACTGGTCCACACATCCAAGAAGGGACAGAGTCAGAATTGGAGCCCTCGTGTGTCGGACTTGGCAGTCATGCTCTGCACACTGACCCGGAAATGCCTCTTCTATGTTCCTGGTCTTAGGAGGACAGGGTACTCCTGAGACACTGGGGGGACCATCAGGGTCAGTTTCGCTGCCAAGTCACCCCAGTCCTCCTCTTCCATGATGTTAGCCCAGTCTCCCCAAGGCTTCAGGCTGACCCTGAGCCTCCTTTCCTGCAGATGGGCTGTCCACATGGATCCTGAGCCCAGAAGACCTACATTTTGGAGAAGGTGTCTACTAACTGACTGTGATCCCCAATTCTGACCTGGAGCCAACCCCTGGCAGAGACCTCACCATCGGCATCGCCACTTTCCTTTCCCATTGTGTGTTCTGGGATGAGGTCCAGGGGAATTGGGACAACTCTGGGTGCCAGGTAAGGAGAGGAAAGTGAAGAAGACAGAGTAGCTTGGTTGGGGTGTCCTGCTCCCTTAGGGGTACTGTTTTAGTGCCTCCAGTGCACCATCTTCAGTACTACCACAGGGCCTTTGCATGTGTGCTTGGAATGCTCCCCTTCCCCTACCCAGGGAAGTTAACTCCTCCTTCAGATCCCACCCGAAGTATCACTTCCTCCAGAAACTTCTCAACACCCTGGTTAGGTCAGATTGAACCCTCAGAGCACGTAGGCCCGCCTCCTCCACAGACTGAGCAGAGTGGGAGTTCTACAACCACTTGTGAGATCATTGAAAAATGCCTATTCCCTCCATGCACTGGGAGTCACATGAGATGGAAACAATGTACTTTGCTCACTGTTAGGAACAAATGACCACTGCATGAGTGGACAAATGACTGGGAAGCCCTGTGGACTCCGGGTTGCTGAGAGAGGACAGAGTGGCATTTCCAAGGAAATGAACTCATCACTGAGTCCTTCCTTCCACGCCAGGTGCTGTGTTCCATGCTTCCTTGTGTTAGTTCATCAAATCTTCACAATAACCCTATAAGGTAGTTGGTATTCACGTTTTACCGGTGGTAAAACAAAGGCTCAGGAAACTCAACTAACTTGGCCCAAATCCCTTACCTAGTAGGTGGAAGAGCTGGGATTCCAACTCAGGCCTGTCTGTCTCCAGAGAATAAGCCTTAGAGATATGAGGAGCTGTTTCTCCGGAGCCCCTGGATGGCACGTGGCTCTATTAATTGCAATCAAATCCCTGTCTCAGGTCAGCTCAGCTCTGCCCCTGAGGAGGCAAGGCCCATGACAGTGTTCTGGTAGCAGACATTGGCTTTGAGGCCATCAGAAGCCACCTCTGTGGTCTGTGTCCCCCTTCCCCATTCTGTGCCATCGTATATGCTGTTCTCTGCCTGGAATGCCCTTCTTACCTACAACACCTGGAAAACTCCTAGTTACCCTCCAATCTCCCATTCCAATGCCATCTCTCTCAGGGAGCTTCTCTGATGTCTGGAGTCTCCCTCTGCTGGATATCCACAGCACTTCAGACCCTCTCCAACAACAGCCACCTCCCTACCCAGCTGAAACTGATCACACATCTGCCTCCACCTACCAGACCATAAATACCTTCTTTCATTTATTCTACAAACAGTTGCCATGTGCCTGGCCAACTGGTGGGGATGTAATTGTGAGAAAAACCAGTGAGCTTTCAGTCCAGTAGAGGACACAGACAAGAAGCAAGTGGCACACACATGTCAGATGACATAGTGTAAGAAGCCAAGTTGCAACAGTCACAGAAGGGGACCAGAGCCGAGCTCCTTCCAGGTTCGTTTCCACTGTAGCTTCATTTTCCATGTCAACTCCTGCCCTGGCTTCCAGCGGCCACACATGGCGAGTTCCCCAAAGCACTGGAAAGAGATGAGGGTGCACTGAGATGTCCAAGGCACAGCAGACTCCCCCCACTTGCAGCACAGGCCTTTGTTCCTTGTGAATAAGACCCTGGGTGTGTTGTGACCTCCTAGAGTTCTTGCTCCAGAAGCTGTCTGACCCCCATGTTGCTGGCACAGAGTGCCCACTACAGGCTGCCCTCAGATGCCCGAGGCTCAGAAAGTGGGAAGGTGTAGGGGCTGGCAGCAAGGGCTCTGCCATTAGATAGACTTGGGTGCAATCCCATTTTATCAGCTCCAGCAAGGTGACCTAGGATGAGTCACCCCACCTCTCTGAGCTTTCCCATCTGAAAATGAGCATAAAGGGTACTTGCAGTTGGGGTGGGACCTAGATGAGATTAAGGATATGAAGTACTTAGTGTGGTGTCAGACACACAGTGAGCACTCCATAGATGAAAGTGATTGCTGTGTTAGCCCATCAGAGCAAAGAGAAGACAAAACTGTACGTAAAATTGAAATCAAGGAAACAATGAACATGAGATTCAGCATGGTGGTTGGGTGGGGGAGGCATGGGAACAAGTTGGGGAAGGACCACTTTGCTAAATGTAAGTTATTGGAAAGTTCTAGCTTTCGAGTAGTCATAGGTTCTCAGGTGCTTTTTATGTTATTAAAAATATGCACTTACTAATATATACATACATGGATGTGGGATGTACGAAGCTCATATGTAGAAGTGTGTCATAGACCAAAAGTTATATTAATATCCAATATTGTGTACTTGATGCTCATTATAGATATATATAGATACTGATGTAGGTATATAGAGATTACTGAGGACCATAAATAAGTAAATGGGATCATCAAGTTTGCATGGAAAACCAACATTGACTTCTCTAAATAGCTAAAGAAAGGTTATAAATCTGTGGACTACAGACCTTGTCACAGGGTAAAGGCAGAATTATTGCAAGGGGTCTGAGAACCATATTCTCACTTATGTCTTATCTCAAAGGATACTAAAGGTATAACTACGGTGGCAAGGGGGTACACAGATTAATTTCAGATAATCAAGAAGGGCCTCATGCTGAAAAGGGTTGAGAAAGCTGCTGCTTCCCCAGGCCTTTGTGAAAACCCAGGAGGACAAAGATTTAGACATAAAGCAAACCTGGTCCCAGGGCTCCCAGAACTGAGATTGTCTTGTTAATGGCACCTGCTTCAGTCTCTTCTCTGAAACTAGCCCCACACCTTCCGGGTGTGCCAAGTGTTCCTGTAAGCCCCACAACTGCATGCCAAATGCTCTGGGCAGGATTGGGAACCAGTAAGGAAAATCACAGTGCAAACACAGGACTAAGACCCACGTGGAATCCATCAATAAACAGTTGGTGCTGTGCCCATTTGGAAGGGTCAGCCCTTGCTAGGTGGCTCATTTAAGGGAAAGGGGGCATGTTTGGGATATAGCAGGTTCTTTCTTACCAGGGGTTGAGCACAGAACTTTCTACATGCCAGTGTTTTCTGCTCCCTCCCACCTTACCACCTTGTGGTGGACCCTGGAATGAAAAGGTGATGCTGAGTTGTGGGGTTGAATCACATCTTCTTTACCTACCAAATGGCCCTGGGGGGAGATTTCAAGCTGGCTGAGGGCTTTAGGGAAGGCCTGCCCCTAAGCACAAGGTATAAATTAAAGAGTGTAGCTGGGGTCCCTGCTCTTGCACATTCCTGTCTCTCTGTCCCCAAACTCATTGTCCCATAACACATGGGACAGCATGCCCCAGCTCTATCCACATGCCCTACCCTTCAGAGCCACATCTGGCTGCTCTCATGGGGGTGGGCACACCAATGGCCAGTCCATATGGACTGATGATCTGAGAAATAGGTCTATGCAGGTCCTGGAAGCAGGGAATTCTGGGTTCTGGGTCCCCAAACCACAGTTTAGAAGTGGAAGGGTGGGGTAAAGAAAGTGAGGCCTCTGGAATGCAAAATTTAGAAAGGAGCTAACTCTCAGGGTCACCCAAAGCCTTGCCCAGTCCTGGCTGGGTGGTATATGCTGTGGTGGGAGTAACTCCTCCAGCCCACATCCTCCTCTTGTGTAGAGGGTCACAGCCCGAGGATAGCTAGCATGGGACCGTTCCACAGATAAGCCCAGAAAAAGGGCTCCAGGTGCCTAGATCTAAGAGGGAGTCACATTACGAAATACTTTCCTGGTGCTGAAACACCAGTTTAGAGTGAAATATTTGTCCTTCCCTTTTCTTCACATGGTTCCCCCAGTCTAGGTCTTCCTTTGCTCCTTAGTGTAAGTTGACCAACTTAAGACTTCCAGTTTCAAAAGCAGAAAAGTCCCTGGCAAACAGAAGAATTGGTCACCGAGGATGTCCTCTCAGCATCTAGCCCATTGCCTAGCCTAGAAATAATATTCAACAAATAGCTGTACAATGAATGAGCCTCAGGTGGGAGACTGGACTGGAATGATGCTCACCAAAGTGTGATAATGGTTGGTTGTAGAGGGTGGAGGATAGAGGGGACTTTGCCTTTACTTGTAATACTTATCTAAAAAGGTAAAGCAGAATGACAGGATAGACAGTTGTCCATTGAGAATGATGGGTGCAAAGATGTTTGTTAAAGATAACATTCTCCTGAGATTCCAAAATGGTGGTGGAGTGAATGGAAGCTACACAGATCATCTCCCAGGACTAAACTGGAATTACAACTAAAATAAAGACAAATTGTTGGGAACAACTAATAGAAAAGCAGCTGGAGAGGACCTATATAACCAGGGACAGAAAGAGGACACTAAATCAAGTCTCGTAGGAACTGTGGAGATGCAAGAAGGCAGACTGAGAGCCCACGGACAGCAGCTGTTTTAGCTGTGAGCAGCTCCCTCAGGGTTAAAAATCCCACACCAGCTCCATAGTGCAGAGGGCTGGGACAGAGCACTAAATTAGTTACAGCCACTCACCTTGGTCTCTGAGAGGGAGGGAAGACTGGACTGGAACTGTGTGGAGAGACTTGGGAGCTTGGAGAGCTGAGAGGACACAGAGAGTTTTGTGCTGAATCACTCCCTCACAGGACAGTACCCATATTACTCAAAGAGCCCCTTCCAAGAGCACCAGGGAGAAGCAACAGCCCCTCCTTCAGGTTTTAACACCACCTGGCTGGGTCAGAGAAATGCAAATCGAGGCTCATTAACATTGAGTCTGATAGCAAGCAAGTGCCCCACCCACTGGACATCCTCTTACACCTGAGAGATTTTTCATTCAGCTGGCAGCTACAAATCCAGGCTCACCAAGTAACTGAGACTAATAGTTTCCAGACAAAAAGCTAGAGGATGACTGAACCTTTCCTGGGCTTGCGAATCTACCCAGGAAAGTAAGATTTGACAGTAGTGTTTAACATGGGTCCTCCCACACTCATCCAAAGCCAATAAAGGTAGCCAAAATGAGCAGAACACCAACACCAACAGGGAAAATTTGGCAGGCTCCAAAACCCACATTTGGAAATAGCCAAAATGGTGAAACAAAGAAACAAATCCCAAATGAAAGAACAAGAGAACTCTACCAAAGAAGAGATAAATGAAATGCAGTTAAGCATTATCAGAGGTAGAGTTCAGAG